CTTGATAACAGGTTCAATTACAGGTGAGTCGATTTTGAGTTTACCGAACTAATTTGTACTAATAATATTTTATATTTATTATTAGCAACTTGCTGTATTTCAGACTGATAAATATTTATATTACGTATCCTTCGATAAACAAGGAAACTCTTATATTGTTTTTCTTTCATAGTTTTTCTTCGGCGGCATTTATATATCAGAGAATGTAAGATGTAATCACAATGGTTTTTTATGTTTTTCCAAAGACACTAAGCTACCAAATTATCAAGGATTTTTTTTTTAATAAAATTTAATTCGATTTGTTTTCGCTTTTACCATAATAAGAAAAAGCTCGCTGTTAACTAGTATCTTATCGGGCACAGTAGTAATATTACTTTATAAGAATAAATTAGAAAAACATCAAAACCAAAGTAAAAAAATAAAAATGAAGTCAAATTCCAAATTGCGTGACATCAGTTAACAAATTAAAAGATCACATCAGTAGAACGCTCGACTAGGAGCTTTCTTCTGCTATCTAAGCATATCCCATATGCTTGTCATCGCCGAAACATTAAAAGCGTTACAATATAAACATTGCTATCTAGTAGAAGTAAACAAACAAGTAGATGATGCGCGTTATTATTAGATGTATGTGTTATGTGGAGATCACACGAGACGGGCGCGACCGGCCGCGGCCGGGCTGTTGACCGCGATTCATTAATATTGGCGATTTATTTGCACTCGGACGGTCGAGGACGAGTTCAATTATAAAACCGGATTTGTCTGTCTGCAAATATGATAACGTTTTTGCTACCTACTGCATTTTAATTATGGAATTAATCAGATTAATTTGCTCGCTATCCCCTTCACTAATCGCGATAATTTAACAAATATGAATTTATATGCCGTAACGCCTTAATACGACTATTTTAAATTAATGCTTAGTAATAATTTATCTATATAACCCTCAATTCTTAACAAGGAACTCTTTACCCTTACTTTAATAGAAAAGGAGTCTGGAGGAGATGTGTGCGTGCATTATCATTTTTTTACTTATCTATTCTTGCGCCTACCCCGTCAGCCCTTGCTGTTTGACGATTTAGGATAGATCTATATTTTTTATTAATAACCTTTTTAAATATAAAGTTTCTATAATTGGCGTCAATACTGTACACTTATTTCTGAGCATTGGAATAATAAAACTGCTGTTAAAACTTTGTTGAAAAATAAATAAATATCGATCATTGAAATCACAGAACTACCTATACCTGTGGTTAAAATCCAATTATGAAGTTTTCTAAATTTTCCATTTTGCTTCAAAATTTTCTTTGATCTAATTGTTTTGGAATTTATGATATAATTTTGTAAGTGTTGTTACTGTTATTAATTAAATGTTGTGGAAATTCTTGTCCTGCACCCACTGTTATCAGTTGCTAAAATAAGAGAAACAAATGTTTATTTTAAAGAGTTGTATTAACGCTTACAATTTGAGTATGGAAAGCTTTGACTCGGACTTAGTAATCAATACTTGTATTATGTTTCATGGTGACAAGTGGATTTACCGTACGTTGTGTTGCGACTAGGTAAATATAAAAAAAAAGTATATCCATGAATACCCTTCGCGCTCGGGAGCGCGGTCGCGCGCCACGGCTCTGCCTGCCACTGCATTGGCTTTATATATTTTTTTTTCATTTTATTCCGGTTACCTGTTTCGAACGAGTCTCGTATCGGACCACGGGGCTGGTCAGCTTAACAAGTGCATGCCAGGGGTGTTACACCTTCTAGTAATTTATTAATCGATAAAACTTGCACTTCATCTGAATTTATGGATTCTAAATTTGATTAATAAGTCATTTTCCTACATATACTGCTTTGGGAGTTTGTTCGATCTGTCAAAAATTTATATCAAGAAATGAGTATCATCGTAAAAATTTCCATTTCTATTTACCTATGATCCCATTGCAATACCTATGTCACTTAAAACGAGAAAAAAAGTTTACAAATTTACAAACTGACACAATTATTTCCTATCTGGTATAAATAAATAAATTGTTCGTTAACAGCATATACGTTGCTCCAACTACCAAAAGTGTATTAAGGTGGCGTTTCGAAATGTTATTCTGGAATTACGACATAACGAAGGTACCACAACACCTATACCCGAGACGTTAAAAAAAGCCCATTTTCTATATTTACTCGCCCGGGAGTTACTCAATTAAAAAAAATACAACAGGTTCTCGTAATGGTTTAAAAATATTGATGCTATAATACTTAGCCTTTTGCTACACAGTGCTAGTCTTCCACTTCACCTACGTAGATATAAATACATATTGTATCTATTGTTGTTTGCAATCATTTATCTGTTGCACGCAGCATTGCTTTTATCCTTTTTGATTCGCGAAAAAACAGCAGGTCATTCGCAGCATCGTTATCACAGGATGTGCAACTCTGTTCATATAACCACTATATATCTACATTCAGATTATAAAATAGGTATCATACTTTTTGCAAATAAAATGACGCACGCGAGATATAAAAAGTGCTTTTTCAGCTCATAAGCCTTGCCTGAGGTAGGATTCACCATCGTTACTTGTTTTATCTATGCATATGTAATATCGTTATGTGGGCCTAGGTTGGGTATTCTAATAAAATATTGTATTCCCCTTCCACAAACATGTCTACTATTCGGGTATATTTTTATTTATTGAGTGCACAGATAAGATACGCATAAAAATGATAGCCAAAGCATCACCACACCACCAATCCACACTGAGCCCAAGTGGTGATTTATGGTCTGTACTCCATCGATTGCGTATATACAAACGGTCGCACGTTAGGCTAAACACCAGATCTCTAAGCAGACTAAGCAGATCTCTGTTAGAATAAAGTTCTATACAAAGCGCAGTCGATACAAAGTCCGCAATGTATAGTCTGGCATTCAGCCGTGTGTACATAGGAAAAACATGCCCGCACACATACATATTACATTTTTTTTATATTTACTTGTTACACGTCTGCGTGCAATAAAGACTGTATTAATGATATTATGGAAAAATCACCGATTTTCATTCCCATGATGACATCTGTCTTTAACTTTTATCACCTCCATCATTAGTCCCGTTGTTTAGTTGTAAAAGCGTAACAAACAAACTGACGGAGTTACTTCGCATTTATTCTATAAATAATATCAAATTTATCTTCTCAAATTCATGTAAATAATGAATGTGAGAAGATAAATTTGATATTATTTATAGAAAGTACCAATTTCGAAGGCAATTATTATGATGCAAATATTTTTGGTCATTTTGGTACTTACTGTTTCAATTTTTTTTTTCATAAATATATACGATACTATATTTTTTTTCTGTAGAAAAAATCACGTGAGATAACCAGCACGTGTCGAGAGAGCGTATTAATTACTGTTATTATACCAACAGATTAGGTATGTTTTCTTTAAACAAGCAGTTACAATAAAAATTACTTAATTGGAACGATAAAATATAATAACACTCTCCGAGTGCGTCACAGTTGGTGAAAAAATTATCTCTTTAAATCTTTTAACCAAATTTTCTTGTAGTTTTGTAGTGTTTTGCTGTTTTTCATACACGCGTGCCACGACTACTTATCTTGGGTTAGTTGGTCAGAACAATACAAGCCGTGCAAAGTTCATAATATATTAATCGTGTACGGTAGATACATACATAATATTACATATAAAAAACATAAATAACATTGCTACTCGAATGTTAGTTTTATTTTATCTCCAGTATGATACCCTGTCGCGCCACATTTCCGGATTTATAAATAAATTATTATAAATAAATAAATATTTAACAACATCACATACATTGCTCAGATTCCAAGATGAGTAGCTAAAGCCCCCGTATTATGGAGTATCTGAGACAACGAAGGTACCACAACACCCAGACCCGAGCCAATATAGAAAAGTTCATTTTATAAATTGACCCGACCGGGAATCGAACCCGGGACCTCAGAGATGGCGACACCTTGAAACCGGCGTGCGAACCACTCGGCTGCATTTAAGTTCTGTTCATTATGTTCTGCATTTAAGTTTTAACTAGATTAAAGTTTCTGAAAATATGTAATAATGTTATAAATCAATCTAATAAATAGAGCAACAATTGAACAAAGAGGCCGAGTATTTATTTCAGTTCCTTGTGTCGCATTCGTTATCGTAAAGATTTTTCTTTGTTTTGTTCCTTTTTACAATTCATAATCAAAGTAAACATATTTTTTTTTTGTTCAAATACATAACATTAATACAACTCTTGAAGAATCCAATTTGTAAAATGTAAATATTTGTATTTATTAAAAAGTAAAATATAATCGATGGACACAAAAATAAACCAAAAGAATTTCAAAAATCCATAGTTTAATTGTTAATTTAGATTGTCATTTTTGTTTGTACAAGAAATATTTAATTTAAGTACTTATTGATTTAATTAAAACAAACTTTTTGAGAATCTTTGAGAATTAAATTAGAAAGTCAAACCTTATATAACTGGCCATAGACAAAATGGTTGTTTACCCCTGTGCATACACACGCTTGTCTACTTTTTTTGTTAACACCTTTTGTAAATATAATTTGACATTGGGAGCGAGAAAAAACCTAGTAGAGACATTACGTTTTTGACAGGGGATATTTAATGAAGTTGTCCGTTTTTTTTACGAGACAGCCCATTCTCACGGTGGCTCCTTTGTGGGAAGCACGTCCACACGGGCTCAATCAATTATGTTAACTGTGATAATTTTGTTTTTTCTTTTATTTCTTTTTAGTCATGGCCTTTTGAGAGTTTCGAATGGTCTTAACCAAACAAATTATATGCTAGTTTTACGCTTATCATCTTATTTTGGAGTTACGCTCTTTGTATCATTTGATGGTTAGAACCTTTGGATATTTGATTTGTAAATAGCAATTGATAAATCCTAGTTTCGAGCCATCTCTCGGTTGAACACGATATTTATTTTGAATGAATATAATGTTGCTAAGTTTCCGCAGGATGTGGCGTCCAACATCGTTTGGCGCGCGGCTGTGCGCAGGAGTGGCACTCGCTATGTCGCTGTCACTCGGCGCCGGCCGCCGCGAATACAAGGACGTAGAGTCACGACAGACAGACATCTCATTATGGATAGACGAGAGACAAGTCCGCATATTCAGCGGTAACGACACTTTATGTTAAGTTAAGCAGTAGAAATAAATGACTTATCGAAAACAAGACCAAAATCAATTACTAATTATGTAAAAAAGGATCTTTATAATTAGATCTTAACCTCCTGACTATTTGAGGTACTTTTTTTTTCAATTTCACCATGAAACTTATATAATTATAGATCCTAATATAGTGGCAAAAATATTTAAAAAAATCTTAAGTCGGAAAATGTAGTTTTCCACTATGTCACTTTTATAGGACAAATGAAGAGTATGAAGATGTACTATGCATAGGACATTGCCTTTTAGATGTTAATAAACCTTATATTCATAGGTATTAAAAAACTGAAACAATTTTGAATTTATGATAACATATTTATTATTTTATATACGTATTTAAAAATTAGTCTCATGAACGGTATCAAAAATATTTTGGCCTAATTCTTGGCAACAACTTTTTTTGTTACAAAATTAACTAATTATTATGTTAATATAAATGAGCGTTATAGTTATATCTCCATTCTTATTTTGTTCTTATAATTAAAATAAACTTAATAATTTTAACATTTTTTCATTTAAAAACACTACAGTCGAAAATAACACCAAAAAAATTATATGTTCTTAGGCGAAAATTTAAAAACTGAGTCTTTTAATATTGCGTTGCGCTCATAAAAATCCACGAAACACTTCTTTTCTAACAAAACAAAGAAAAATATTGTATTTCCAGTAAAAACGGTAGTTTTTTTTAACAACTTGGATTGCGGCTAACAAGTTTAGATCTACAATCGGACAGGTGAGATGGTTTTTGCTGTCTTCTTCTTTGCTGTTGTCGAAGGTGACCTACTACACTATAGTGACCTTCCATTTTTTATGCTATGGCAATAGTTTGTCAACCTCATTTAGGTCACTCTATCCCTCACTGCTTTCATCATTATACTCCCTCTATCCACTTGCATCCTAAATTTAGCTTACAATCTCTCGATTGTAAATTTTCCGACAGTTTTCTCCTACTAGATTACTTTTCTTTCCGGAACTATAACCAAGAATTACCGATAGCCAAATTAAATAAATGAAACATGACTGTAATCACATATTATTAGATTACAGAAGGTAACCAAATGTATGTACTTCATTTTTCATAGTTACGCGCGGCGGGATTTCTATAGCTTGGCACAAAGTTTTTGCAATCCAACTGTTGTCTATCGGCATTGTGAAATGTTGTTCCACGCCTACCACCTCGTCTTCTACTTGTACGAATTTAACCTGGCTTTTCTAAACCTCCTACTTGTACGAATTTAACCTGGCTTCTCTAATACTTATATAGAGAGACAGGTCTAGAATTAAATGATTGGTCTTCAACGGACGAACTCTGTGAACATCTTTCTAAATAATTTTCGCGATAATCCCCTTGTAGAATAAAAGAAGAATCATCATCGGATATTTCAGAACCACTCTCAAAATCAGAGTGATTCAAGACTTCAGTTATATTTTCTTCTGTTAATCCTGGAAAAAAAATAGTTTATCCTAAAAAAAAGTAAGAAAAATAGAAATTCAATTCTATGTACTTCACCTAGAACATTGGCAGTACATTCAATCAAAACTTAGTAGACTGACATCGTACTATGCAAAGGACATCCAAAAACCACACATTGTGGGAAGACAAATAAACATCTATTTCGAAAAATATATCAAAATATATTTATTTCATCGGTCAGCCTAGTCATTAGCATCTACTTTATACAGAGATAAGCGATAATTATAATTATTAAACTAGATTTACTTACCGGCCTTTTGGCGTGAGCGCATCTCTCCACTCGTCGACACCATTTTACTAAAAGTAACAGGTGACCGGAGCTCACAGAAAGATTTTTTTTACGGGAGACAATTAATATATATCGCTACGTGCTATTTTCGCCGCTAAAGAAATTAAAAGTCGCAAAATTTTTTTTTTAATTAACGTTCTATGAGTAGTACGAGTGCGGTCAGGAGGTTAAACGTAATTCCGTTTGCTGTGATCAAGGCAGAACGTTGTCATCGCATAGATCTCATTTTAACGACGGCATACAGCCAGTTGCATTCATTATAACTGTCATTAGTTTAAAGCAACATTACCTATACAAATTTCGTCCTTAAACCTTAATGAACATTTGTGCAACTAACCGTTACACTTTTACGATTCTGGGTAAGGATTTAGTTTATGATGATAAACTATTAATATACGTAACCGATAATAGCACTAATCTATCTGTACTCTACATACATATCCACTCTATGTAAACATCGTATTGCTGAATTCACAAGACCTTTTTTCATTTCAGTAGAAATTTTTTAAACTAGGTATATGCACCGAATATAGTTTGCAAGGTAGGTATGGACCACTTTTTTATATAAAAAATCAGAAATCTTTAATTACTGTTCTACCTATGAATAAATTTTATATGATATATAGCAATACATCAATTAAATGTAATTACTTATTTGGTTACAGGAATATCAATGAGAGTTTTCGCGATTCAGAACGGGCATATATCATCATATATATTGGATCCAAATTTTTCACACAAGTTGCCCGTAATACCATCTGAGGTTGGATTCGTTAATTTCACATGGAGGTCAAGGAAAAAGTATTTTTACAACTTTGACACTCTTAAATCTTCTGATCTTAAAATACTCAGTCCTCCCGTGCTATCAATCAAGACACAAGGGAGGGTGCCTAAAACTGACAAAGGTGAGACTTGGGTTTGTGAACACATTGTTAATATTACCTAATGTTATAGATTTGATTTGACCTTATGCCTATAAGATAATCATATAAATTAGTGAATATAAACTGTTTTCTTTAGCACTTATAAAGGTGTTAAGTTCTATAAAATGAACTTAAGGTATTATTAATAGGTCAAGTTTATTCTACCATTGATACTAATGTTACACTTATTTCTAGTAGATAGTAATAATAATTTACATAAACAAGTACAGATGGCACACCAGGCTATAAAAAATATTAAGCCCTAAAGTTTTTAGCAAAGATCCAAATCGTTTGTGGAAATTTTTGCCATTTTATAGTAGCCTGAAAACTGACGCGCTCATATCCTAAAAGCCAGATTTAAACTTCAATTAGTACAATACCGAGTTAATTTGCCGCTCTGAGAAATTAAGTTCAAGGCAAGTTAATTCATCCCTGTGCCTATTTATCGCCATCACCTAGTCTATCAATGTCCCCAAAGCTGGGACACAGGCATTCTCATGATAGATGTAATTAAATAGGGCTATGACCCACCACGCGGGCGCAATGTGCATCGGTGGGTATTAATGACTAACGATGCAACAGGCTTAAAGACGAGGAGCTCGAAATAATAAATTTTTGGTCGGTCATCCATCCTGTGACCGGCCCTTACAGAAGTAGCTTAATTACCCCATAGCAGACCGAAAGCGCTAACCACTGTGCCATCGAGCTCCTCATACCTACTTATTAAAGTGTGAAAATCTACAATCATTTCTGATAATTTCTGTAACGTTTAAGAGTTTCTATCTACACGTCTGATGTTATCTAAAAGGTTATCATACAAATTATAATTGTTCACAGAGTTCAGTGTGTTTTTACCGTGCGTTGGAAACAGCAGCGGTGTTGCCACTTTAGAAATAGGTCTAGTATTGAAAAATGGCAGAGGTGTACCGCTGAAGGGTACACCTCTAAGGATTAACCTTAAGAAGGAATGCGCACAGAGAGGTGTGTATTTTGAAAGGACAGGTATTGTATCGCCAACGCATTTTTAACACTTTTCCTTCTATGTTTCTGCCTGTTTCTATGATGTCTCAATTTCATTAATGTAATAAATCAACATTAATATAGATATCACCTTAAAAATTATTTGAATAGAAGTATTTTTGTGCGTCATATAAACACGCAATAATATAGAGAGATGCTTTATAGTCATTATTAAAAATATAGTCATACAAAAACTTTCAAATATTCGAAATAATATATCAGGGTGGTTCCAGTGCTGGATTAGACATGTAGCAAAAGTAGCAAATGCTACAGGCCCCGTGCAACTGTTAATATTAAGAAATAAAATAAGCCACGTTTCTGCCTAAACTCATATTTTTAAGTATAAACACAAACTGACAAATAAAACTCAAGTCACAGAGTAGTTGTGTTGTATTATTCGGAAAGCAAAGGACGACATTTTTGTTTCGTTTGCAAAGTTAATGATTCCGACTATTCGTCATCGTCATAACGAAAGATATATTAAGTGATTGAAAGAATACCCACAATTTATTGAAAAACCATATCATTATGTACCATTATTTTGTTGTTACACCTCAAAAACAAGAAGGCGCATGTCGATACTCTCATTGTAAGTCAAATTGTATCGGAACAGTTGGATTAGCGGTTATTTTTACAATGAAATGTTCCAAATCAAAAAAATTGTATACCTATTTAAGAATTTTGTTTTATTTCAATTACACACTTAATCTCAAGCAAACCAAGGGCCGCTCAAAATTGGTTACTGGCTTCGCTCTGGCTTAATCCGGCACTGGGTGGGTCTATAACTCTATCTGATTGCGTTTACCTAAATGTTATTTTAGTATATAGTACACAACATATTCCACTAGAGGGCGTCCCTCAAAAACCCTACAGCTTACATTTACGCAAACGCGATCAGCGCCCTGACAAGGTTTAATCAGCTTATTAATTCGATCATTGCGCTTTTCTTTTGGAATTTAAAAAGGATTTGAAGAAAACCCAGACTGCTATATGTTGCTATCAAATCACTAAAGACAACACATTTTTCATGTATGGCGTCCTTCAATATTGCGCTTATGCTACTACTAATAATACATTTATGGACAGTTGAGTTCCAGCAGTACTATCGCCATTGTTGGAACTGCCGCCATTATATCGTCTTACATACATATGTTTCCATGAAATAAATGCAGAACAATACAGCAATTGACATTTTATTAAAGCATTGTTCCTTGTTTTAATGTGAACTAGACTGTTATTAGCGAGCCGATTTTTCACGTCGTTAGACAAAACAATCGCAAACACAATTTAAAATCAAATATATATTTGGAGCGAGCGTAGATTTCTCTATAGGTGTTTGATGACATTTCTATGTACGTATGTAGCGCACTAATAATCCTGCTGTGCCTCTATCACCGTTCACAATGCAAGCCTGACGTGACGAGTCGGGCTTCCATATTAACAATAATACATTATTTTTCCGGGTGCCTATCGCCGAGTGCCTCCGCTGATTGGCTGAACTCACGGTGCCTCTGCTCACAACATTTGCATTTTTAGGTTGGTACATTTGCTTGCTTCATTACAACGCGGATTCATCAATCCCATCTAATTGTTTGATAGTATAGTAAGAAGCCACGCACATGGCCAACGTTATTTTAGATTTTCTTTCAGGGTTGCAACCTCCTAACTCTCTAGCCATAGGATACGACAACTTATGGCAACATTTCGTTTCTTTGACGCGTTTTTTGGTGGAAATATTTGGTATAAATAACTAAGTTGGTAACACTGCTGTCAAATCATGTTGAAGTGGTATAGAGAAACGACATATCTTCATAATATCGAAAAGATGTGATATCCTATGGCTAGATTCGTGGCTGGAGGTAGGTGGACGTACGCACCGTAGGTACATTGACATGTTCTTAACCCTAGTATCAATTTAAGTTTGCTTAACATCGGATCAGTGAGTGATACATTTCACTGTGATAGCCAAACTACTACGGGAAAACATTTTTTAATAAAGTTTATTTACATTTAACTAAAGCCATCTTGTAGGTAGGGGACATGATCCCATTGCTATAGAAATTTTGCGGCTTCTGATCATAAAACCATGACTGCCTGAAGAATTCTGAAGAAACCAAAACAGGTGAAAATCTGGACTATACTGCGGATGCAATAACACCTCGTAGCCAAACTCTTTTAATTTTTCTCGAGTGAAGAGTTATGCGAGGTCTAACGTTATCATGATGAAAAACCACACCCCTTCTATTGATTAATTCTGGCAGCTTTCTCTCAACTACTAGCTTTAATCTCAGAATAGAGTTCAGAATCTATGATCCAGCGAATAATGAAAAATACTCTTCCAAGCATACACAGCATCACCTTATAGCTACCCCGCTTTTCACCACAGTCTGTGAAGCCTTTGACCACGCCTTTTTCACACGTTCTTGTCGTACGTGATCCACTTTCATCACTAGTACTATCAGCTTATTTAAAATAGTTCGGCTTCATTACACCGTAATAAAGAATCACAACTGAGTACACGATTCATTAGGGTTCTTTGAGTGAGCTTGTGAGGTACACAAATATCCAACTTTTTTGCGTACCCAATTTTTCTTCAAATGCGCCCAAACTGTTTTTTGGTCAATTCCCAGTTCTTCAACTACATCGTAACTACTGATATGCCCTTTTTCAAAAATAGCATCCATTTTATCCGTAACAGAGTAACGGAGCAACGTGCATCTTTGATATCAAAATTTCCGGACTGAAACGCTTTAACTATAGCTTAAACCAAATCTGTGCCACTCTCACAAAAACTGCACTAGGTCCATAAACGTCACATTTTTTTTGTAGCTTGCGTTGCATTTTTACTTTTTTTGTAATAAAATATTTAAAATCCATCGAATCTCTGCATTAGATTCACTCATTATGAAGAAGAAATGAAAATCATACATTTTCCTAATTTGATTTCGGAGTTATCTTTTTAATTTTAACAAACTTTTTAATGATACCGAATCCAGCTAGATACAAATGGTGTAGCCAGAAAGATTTTATTACAAGTTCATGCGTACTATATGCGAAATACTTTTTCCCAACCTATCTTGATTTTAATCTAATTTTTTATATCTTAATAATTGTTTCTTCCTCAATTTAGCACTAATGTGCATATAAGAGGGTTCTTGTAGGATTAAAAAAATAACAGTTTCGTAAATACATAGTTGCGGTCCTATTCTGAGCATCGTAAATCGTTTTGTAAAAGGCGAATGGTTGTAAATCAACATAATATGTGGCAGCGGTGTGGCGACTCTTTAAGTACATTTGTGTAGAATGGACCATATAAACGTTCAAGTCATATTTTCGTTTCATTTGAATATAAGGGGCTGTCCATAAATAACGTGTCACGTTAGAAGGGGGAAAGGGTCAACGAAATGTGATATTATAAATGTGCCTGGAAAAGGGAAAATCAAAATCATGAAATTCGTGTGACTTAATTTATGTATAGGCCCTGCAGAAACGAAATTATTCGCCCCAGCAATCGTCGACATTAATCGCGTAGAACTCGCTTTACTTAAAATACTCCTCGTTCAGAGGTAAGTTAAATATTTCTGTTTAAATATGTCAGGGCCGGATCCAGAGTGCGATAAAAAGTGTGCGAACCAAGGTTGGTGCAACCACGAGAAGATCTGCCAGTGCCCGGAGGGGTACATGGGCCAGCACTGCCGCACGGCGCTGTGCTACCCGCAGTGCATGCACGGCGGCAACTGCACCGCGCCCGGCGTCTGCTCCTGCCCGCCCGGCTACCACGGCAGCAACTGCGAGGGCGGTCAGTACACACGCATTCACACATGCAGATGCACACACACACACGCGCACACATACAGCGCATGCACGGCGGCAACTATTAGACGATCAATTGTAATTGCTATAGTCTTAAATTAATTTCTAACCTATCACGTGACCTACAGCAGTGAATCATATAGGAAATATAGTTCAGTTCATGTCTCAAAAACTTTTTATATCTTCCAATATCATTTTATCGTACTCTGGAGCTAGATCAAAATACTATCTTTACCATAATCTTGCGTCATTCCATAAAACAATAGAATAACCTTTGCCGCCCCACCTTCGCAATGCACTCCTACAATTATCTCACTAAACTTAATCAAATTATTATTTTCCATTACTTGGTCACCTTTCATTAATTTGTTGTATAAGTTAAACATTATACAGTATAACATAAAAATAAAAAAACATTATATATCACAAAAACAATGCGACATCAACGCCTCTTAAACTGAGACTAATATCCTAACAACATTTCCGACTAACCGCATCATGAAGCAGTCGTACGATCAGCCGCCCATATCATTAAACGTAAATTATTCATTGATCTGGCCAGGCCACAACATGATATGGGCAGCTAGTATTTTTTTCCATTTCATGAAATGGCCAGCCGCATCATGAATTGGCCAATTCTACGATCTGGCCACGACATATATATATATTACTACTTATGGATATTAAAACTATTGTATCGTCGGAATTGATAGTTCTGGCCACAGTTTTCTAAAAGTAACCTCTCAAAAAACATATGTAAATAGAAAATCATGACACGACATATATGCTTTACGATTATATCCAATTTACTTACATTATTTATCATCATTAGCCTGTTAATATCCCCACTACTGAGGCACAAACCATGACTAAATATATTGATACAATGTATCTAGTAGGTAACTAACAATCATGTCAAAGGCGCACGCGCGGATAACGCACCTGTATGTTGAGCACATATACGAGGGTCAAACTGAAAGTTCTTAGAACTGGCCACTTATAAACAATATAATAAAAAAATAATTCTAAAATTTGAAAATATAACTCTTTGCCAATATTACTGAGTATATATTTCATTCATTTGTCATTTGTTTTACGATTTGGCGGCAAATTGAAAATTGTCTGTGTCACGTCATCATGAATTTAACACGAGAAAATTTTCGTGCAATGATTTTTTATGACTTTCGATGTCATTTAAGTCAACAAGAAAGTTATGATAGACTACGATTGGCCTTTCACGATGAAGCCCCATCTCGTGCGACTGTTTACAACTGGTTTAATGAGTTTAAACGTGGTCGCACTAATCTCACTGATGATTTACGTGAGGGACGGCCTTCTACGGCGACGACTGAAGATAACATCTGTGTTGTGCGGCGTATGATAGAGACTGACAAAAGAGTGACCTATCAACAGATTCGGACAAGCTTAGGCATCGGTATGAGTCAAGTGCACAAAATCCTCCACGAACATTTAGCGGTCAGGAAGCTTTGCGCCCGGTGGATACCTCATAATTTGACTGAGGCTCAAAAACTCCATCGTGTGGATTGGTGTCGTAAAATGATTGAAAGATTTAACGGAGGTGACTCAAATGCTGTGTTCGACATACTAACAGGTGACGAAAGCTGGATTTACTGTTATGATCCTAAAACCAAAAGACAATCTGCTCAGTGGGTGTTTCCTTTCGAGGAGTTGCCAACTAAAGTGAAGAGAGATCGAAGTGCGGGAAAAAAAATGGTGGCCTCGTTCTTTGGAAGGATAGGTCATTTTGCAACAATTGTGTTAGAGGATCAAAAAACAGTTTCTGCAGAATGGTACACTACCAATTGTTTGCCACTTGTCTTGGAAAAAGTTCGAGAGAAACGACCTCGCAGTAGGATCCTCCTTCACCACGACAACGCCTCGTCGCACACCGCCAAGCGAACGATCGACTATTTGGCGACATCAAACGTTGAATTACTAGGTCACCCGCCGTATAGCCCCGACCTCGCGCCTTGTGATTTTTATTTATTTCCAAAAATTAAAGAAAAACTTAAAGGAAAGCGGTTTATGAATGCTGAAGAAGCGGTGGCTGCGTATCGCGATGCCATTGAAGAGACCCCTAAGGACGAGTGGGCAAAGTGCTTTTCCCAGTGGTTCCATCGCATGCAGCGGTGTATTGACGTGAATGGACAATATTTTGAAAAGATATAATAAAACTAATAACTGGCTAATGTAATCAGTTTTTGATTTTCTAAGAACTTTCAGTTTGACCCTCGTATAACCGAATTAAGATTTTTTTCTTAAGCATATTATTAAAGCTAATTTAAGCAAATATATTGTATAGTTGAATATTGCCCACCTTTATGAATTATTCTTATTTTTGCAAATTGTTACCCTTAGTTTATTTACCAAAATTACCTCAAAACCTAGAGTCATTATTTTATAGAGAAGTCGATGCGAAACTTTTGACTAATAAGTTTGGAGCCCTGTTTTAAAAGATGTACGGAGTTTTAAAGGAACAAGAGTGAATAGGTTCCTTCTGGGCAAGCTCATCCCACGGTTGGATTGATATGAAAACTTTAAATAAAAAAACGACAAAAAATCATTTCTCCAATTAATTATATACGTTAATCAGTTGATAGTTAAGTTCATCGTTGGTTGTAGAAACCTGGCGTGTTAAGGTTTTAATTCAAGTTACCTATAAAAATTAATTGATAATAATCTGTTTCAATCCTAAGTTCCAAAATGGTCCTCCAAGGTGCTGTATTAATAAAAAACAAGCAAATATTAACAATACACTATTTATTAAACAAAAATATATCATATAAGTGTTAATCTAAACTTATTTCCTAACTATATTCTCTTGGATATTTCTATGGCCACTTTGCATCCGGTCTTGATGACTTCTGTGAGAGCCTTATAGAAGGGTGCCTGTTCTGCGCCGTGGTCGATACCAGTGTCGTGATGCTCCTGCTCCTCATCACGGAACTTAGTGATGGTCTCCAGGATCTCTTTGTCCACATTCGGGTCTTCCATCAGCGTACGCAACTGGTCATTATAATGGTCTACTATAACAGTCTCCACTGCCACTGTGCACGCCATAGCAGCTTCCTTACCTAGTAACGCTGTACCTGGAAACGTTCATTTAAATTATTAGATTTACGGCCAGTTGGACAAACATCCATTAAGGTTTAATGACGCCTTTAAGCTCTAATGATTGTCACATTTGTATGGGTAATGTCGCTTTAAACTGAAACTTTTAATGAACCTTTGTGAAACTGGCTGATACTCTTTAAGATCTTCGTACATTATGACGGCTCAAACTTGACATAACTTTTGGACATTAAAATATGAGTGACTGGTTTCGTGGTTGTGGCTAGCCGCGAGGTTCATTGTTAGATGATTGAAAAATAATTACTTTAATTACATACATTAATTAATATGATATTAAATTATGTGCTGATGTCTCTCCATTTCAATTATATTGCAATTGCTACCTTAAAAACACTATATAAATCACATTTTATCTTACTTAAGAGAGCGTGAACATCGAAAATTACCCACAGCCATGCCAAGCAAGCACATAGCACATGCTTTTGAGTGGTATAATCTTAAAATATTAAAACAGAAAGTGTTTATCACAAATTAAACAAGACACGCAACGATTTTAATAGAACCGTCTAGTATGGTTTTTTTTTATAGTGAGTGTTCGACCATACATTTACTGCGTAAGATAATTTAGGGGGGAGAGGGGCGACAAATAAGACGTGTCCTGTTTTGTCTTACATACAAGGAGTAACAGGGTGTTCAGGGATAGCTCTTACGTAAGATCACAAAAACGTTTAACTTTAAGATTATTAATAATCTTAATTTACTAAGGGTTATCTTAAATAACTTATAAATTCAAGAGAACTCTTAGTAAATATTGTTAAAAACTCTCCAGTGAAATGTCGTCATAGAATTAACTTTAATAACTAAGTACCCAGTAGACGTCTTCCTAAAAACCTCTTAAAATAAAATAATTAAAAAAGTATATTATTAAGAATCTCAAGAAGAAAAATGATCGAAATATTTTTTCATTAGCTTTTTCCAGTTTTATGCGTCATAAATATTAAGTTTGTGGGGAAAGAGTTAGCTAATTCTTAGTTTTTCTTACATACCCCTATATAAGGGAGAGAACAAAAAGCTAAGAAATCGCCTTACTTACGTAATAAATGGATGACGCTAATCGTTGTTAAAATTTCTTACCTTTAAAATATGTTTATGAATATAACACTTTTCATAAAATCGAATTTGGTAGAATAGTGAGGAACTGATGAATCACTAGATTTCAACAATCACATTATTAAAAATGTGACTAATTCTGAATATGTCACATCAATGTTTTTAATATTTCCTAAGTTCTTTGGAATTTTTGTTTCATCTAATTGTCAATTTTCATATAATAAATATTCATATAGATTTCTTTGTCGAAACCAGGTTCATTTCAAGACATGATATCTTTCAGTCTAACAGTACATTATAAACAATGGTGCTATAGCAAAACAAACATTTTACAGTGGTTTAGGCCCAGACAAATACCCGATTTTTTATATTATAGTGCCTGTTGTTTTCGCGCATATTTATCATCACTAAGGATATGCAGCTCCTGCAGCTGACAGCAAATATCTATTAGTTATCAAAATATACAAGCGATAAAACCGTTTAGAAGTCGTTTTATTTGACGAATAGTGTGCGTTAAAGTATTAAAAAACAGGTGTATAAAATATCTATTTTCACTCAACGAACGGATCTACCGTCATGGGCACGATGGGCATACCCAATAGAGTTATGACGCCATATTTCATGGGTCACAAATAACTTAGATTAAATTAGTAGACTTAATTAAGACTATGAGTAGAGTGTTACGAGGTTATACCTAACAATAACAACTCACCAGCGCCGAGCGCGAACCCGGCCACGTTCCACAGGGGCGTCAGAACTGTGGGCCGCACACGGTACTCGTTGATGAGCTTCTCAAATGCCTCGCGATGCTTCTTCTCCTGCATCGAAACAAATTATTCTATTACCACTTTGTAATGTTATACTCATAAATGACAGCGCTTTAAGCAGAAACGTTTAAAATAGAGTAAGAGAGAGCTAGTAGTGCGTACTTAATTCAACAGTCAATATCACGTCTCCAAAATTTTCAAAATAGTAAGCTTATAAACATTTCAGGCAGATTACACAGCAATCAATAAAAAACGATTTATACTAATATAATATCGCGGCCAGATCGTAGAATTGATCAATTCATGATGCGGCCGGCCAATTCATAAAATGGTCGCATTTCATGAAATGGAAAAAATTTGCTGCCCACATCATGATGTGGCCTGAACAGATCAATTAATAATCTGCGTTTAACGATATGAACGGCTGATCGTATCACTGCTTCATGATTTAGCCACGCATAAGTGATCATATTATAAAATTTCGAGGGGCTGATGTGGCATGGATTGATGAATTTTTATTTATAGGTTAGAACAAATAAAAGAAAGTAAATAAATGTCTATAACTAGGTATATACCGTAACATAGTTAGTTATACGAAAGCGATTTATTACTATCTCACTACCTTGAATTGGTAATAACGAAGTTAGTTTCGAAATGACATAGAATATCTGAGACACGTATATTTAATCAATTTTGTTTTGTATGTTTATACGAAAAAGGAAGCAATAGAATTTCTTCACTAAATGACGTGAATTCAGACACACGAGTGAATACGAATTCGAGTCTGGATTTTTACAGAATGGCATGGCTGGTCACGACATAATATTATCATGTCTTTTAAATGATTTCAATTTTATAAATTGAGTGAACTGAAATCTATATCTTCTTCAAATCTGATAGTAATAATAACACCGTCGATATATTCCTAATATTTATTTCTATCGACACACTGTCAAATTGTGCTTCCAAAGTATGTGTGCGATGATTCACCTGTTCCCACATGTGTCGTATGAGCGGGCCCTCCGCTGTGCCGCCCAGCACCGCCATCTGGCCCGCGTAGATGCGGTCTGCGCCCAACTCGCCCGCGTGATCCACGCGAATTATTTTATCTAACTGCACCAGAAGTTGTTATTAGAACACAATGTCAGCCGGAAAATCGGCTAAAATAAATCTTTCCAGTTAAACTTACGTTTGGATTTTTTTGCCAAGTGGGTATGTGTGCCAGCCTGACGAAGCGCAGTGTACCCTTGGGCCGCAACATCGTTGCGACAAACCTGGAAAGATAATTAAATTATTATGTTTGATTAAATTTGTATTCACAATGCTATACTGGAAAATATTTATAACGAAAAATACTTAAAAAATCCACTTTCTACCCGGTACTCTGAGATGGGATTCGAACCCACGACATTTCGCAAACCGGTAAAGTTATTATATGTTGCAGGTATATGCTCGCAGAAGTGCTTGAACGGCGGAAAGTGTATACAGAAAGACACTTGCGAGTGCCCAAAAGGATACTATGGATTACGTTGTGAATTTTGTAAGTCCATCGCATAGGAAAAAGCTCTGCTATCGTGTTAATTACAGTAATTTGTAGCGTTATTTGTAATTTGCTTTCGACTCTCTCATTGAATGATTATTTCGAACAGCGAAATGCGTGATCCCGTGTCTGAACGGCGGCCGGTGTAAGGGTGCAAATAAATGCCGGTGCCCAGTGGGCCTGGGCGGCAACCACTGCGAGGTGGGGCGGCGGCAGGGCGAGTGCGCGCGCGCCTGCAAGCGCGGCACGTGCACGCTCGGCGCCTGCCGCTGCGAGCCCGGCTGGCGCGGCCGGTACTGCCACCGGCCCATAGGCATTATAGGTAACTGTCGCGATCTAATCACATTATTATGTCGGGTGTGGTCTGAGCAAGAAAGAGACAGGATAATTTTGCCCTGCATCTCTACTATTCCTGATTCCAACATTATGCCAACCTGACTCTTGTCGGACTGAAATCCTTGGAAAGCTTTATAGAGCAAAAACTAAAATATATAAAGTAAAAATGTAATTTCTGTTTCTATACAAATTGGGCACATTAGTTATTATTGTTTATTGGTATAATCAATATTATTACTATTTTATGACAACGAGTGTTTTTAATGTAAATATGATTATAATTATAGTTGGTTTAAATAAAAATAAATTAAAATAAGCTTGTCGGCTCAAGTGTTCAATAATTTAAAATTTTAAGGTGTTTAATAATTTCATTGTCAATCATAATTCATACTTTTTTCAGGTTCCTCTGAAGAATCTGGTGAACACAGAAGGCCAAGGTGAAACAGAGATAGATAGATACTTTATTAAAATGACAAACAATAATTATGTGATTTATATAAAATCTAGACGTAAATTCTACTTAATGTAATATTATTATTATTGATAAATTAGTCATTTAGGTAAGATATATGTCATAAATATTATACTTATAATAATGAATTGTACATTAAATTAATTATATAAGACAAGAAGTTTTACTTTGTTCTATACTATCTGAACAGATACTATACTATAACCCAGGCCGGGATCTCATGGATCCCGGGATGAGTTACGAAGTCTCTGCCCCAGTTAAAAATCACATATCCTAATGTCTGATGCCAAGCAACACAAAAACATAATCAATATGTACACACACTAGCACGTCAGGTTCAACTAGCAGTTAATTTTCAGTTTTACTCAAATATGGTCATGTTTAAAATCAATTGGATAACCCAAAAATACAAGAACCCAACTTGTTGTTGACCGTACTGGAAATGGGGTATGATTAGGTGATGATAAGACATAGAAATAATGTTAAAGAGTACAGAGAAATTGGATAGGTTATAATACAATGATTGTTGTTATGAATTGATATAATGGTCCAAAAAGTAAATTTATAAAGATCTAATAACGAGTTACCTAACATTTACTTACTATCACAATAAAGTATCTTAAAATTAAAACGATTTAAACAATTAAAAGTAAAATAACAGCATAGTTTACTTAATTCAATTATAGTAGTTTACTTACTTCATGTTAATCATGAACTAACAACAATATACGATTTTTCAGAGAGTTCCACAAATTGTTATCATAAAATTACTTGAAAAATCTTGAACTAAACGCTAAACAAGATATAATAACGACAGTCATGAACACAATCTTTGTCATGAATGAAATGTTTACATTTTTTTTGACATTATGTAAAATGATGCAAAATGTCAAGAGGTACACATAACTTTCAATAGATGTCGCTAGAGCACCATGACAACTGATCAATGTTTTCGAAAATAAACTTGGAATTTTTCCTGAAGGCCCGCCTTCTAGGGCATAAATATAAATTTAAATCAATATTTACAAACGAAATCGGTGAGTAATTCATTAAATAATTATTATTGTATTTTATAAAACTTACTGCACTGTTTATTCCGGTCCCCCCTCGGGCTGAGGGGCGAGATTTCCCTTTCCATTATGAAAAATCTCAACGCGCAGACTCGTACAAAATGGCGTTTCAGGGATGTGAAGTTTTTGTTGGCCATGTTCCGCGTTTACCGATCGATAATAATGGAGGATTCGGATTTTCCGGGGTCTCTTGTGCACTCCGAAAATTAAGTGAAACCAGTGTTTGTTTATGTGAGAAGATCTTCAAAAGTGTTATTTTTGATCGGTTACATCACAGCAAGTTTTGGGAGTCTTCAAAAACGTTCGCGATATGTGTTTCAAATCACGCAGGTGCGTACGCAGCCGTAGTCTTTCTATTCTGTCTGGGCCTGCTCGAACGCGCGATTCCCCTTCATGATGGCCATTCATTTGGGCTTATCCTTTACGCCGCCGCAAAAGAGTTTGCGTCATTTGTCTTCGATGTTGCCCCGTCGCAATGATGCATCATGCATTAGTTGCAAGCGACATCCCATCTAAATGCGACATATTGTGACGTAGCTTGGGAATGCTTTATTTTATTGCATACAGCATTTCCAAGCTAGAGACATCTCCTATATCCCAAACCTCCCTAAGCTCATTCATGGTTTCATCATCAGGTTCTTCCTATTACATTAAGATTCGTCTGTGTAGGAAGGAGGACGATAGTGTGAGAAGCACAAGTATTGATTTTCCTGGGCTAGCTGCCTACACAATAGTCAATATTCATGTTGTTAGCTACTGAGTAGATATAGCTAGAAGAGAAAGCAAATGATTCAGCAATTTGCCATTAGTCTTAATTGGTAGAATCTCATTAAATTTAATTTGTTTTGAAAAAATAGCTTTTTATTAAATTTGAGCACATTCTTGAACCCATTACAATATACTTACAAATCTGCCAGTCACTATTGGAACTTAAAATTCCAATTAGAATTTCAAAGATGTCATAATTGCTAAATATTATGTTCTAAATTATTTTATGGTTTATCTGAAAGTAATCTTGTATTTTCTTATATTAGATTCAGTGAACAGTTACCATATTTTTTACTTCAATAAAATCAGTTTTCATATAATGGGTAATAATAATTTTCTATAAATTTGGACACAGGAAGGTGTGCATAGAACTAACAGATATTTTGAGATGTCATAGATGTCTCAAAATGGGCTAGGTAGTATTTATGTGCAACATCTCAAAAAATAGATAAATTTTACTGAGCTTAACAAAAATACAATAAACTATATGCTTAAATAGTGGTTATCAAATAAAACAAGCTTATAATTTTTATACTAATTAAATATGGTGACCTTCAGCTGGGTCATAAGAAAAAGCCACATTTAATATCTATCAACCTGAATTTTGTAGTGAGGTGTCCTAAAATGTTGAATATAACATATTTGAATTGAATGTAGTTATTGTGCTATTTTATGATTTTCTGTGTTTATTAGTTCATGAGATGAATATTAAATTATGTATTGTTTTAATATTGTCACAAGAACAACAAGAAAATCACAGATCATAAAGGAAAAACACAGTCATTAAGTATGACTACACCAGACTGTGTAATGAACAGATTTGAAATTAGTTATTTATGTATAAGCATAGATAATGTAAAATCTTAAGAGTGAGAATATAGTTAAAACACTGTACCTATCTATCTCATTACTGACATCAAAAAGCAAATACAAAAATGTGACAAAGGATGTCAATTTCTTTAAACCACTATCAAATTATGGTTTTTCTGATAAAGAAAATTGTTTACAATGGTGGACAAAACAAAAATAAATTAAAAATATATTGCTTTTTAAATTATTAATATTTTCATTTCACTCTTTGTTCAATGTGATTTCATCTTTTTTTTTATTGGTTTGTATAATTGATAACAATAAAAATAAAAGTTTTATTAGGAATGCCTTTCTGTATTTAGAAAGTTGTTGCCATTTACTGTGTATAATTATCAGATATTTATTGGATAATTATTCAAGAATGAACCCTGTCACAAACTCCACAATACAATTATTTACGCTACAAAGTGTTTTACTTATTCATCAACTTTCTCTGTAAAAAAGGGGAACATACCATGAATGGGAAAAATTGTGAATTGTAAATGTAAATTCGCATTTTGGATGTAATAGACTCCTTACAAATATTAATTTTATGGTCAATTCAATTCTTTATTTCTTTTAGTGTATGCACCCAATTAAGTACTTTGGACACCATAGAATATGTTTTTTTTTTTAAGATTTTGATGTTGTAAATGGTTAGTGCATTCTTTTGCCGTTTAGAATTGCCGTTACCTTTCCCAAGAGCTGGTCTTAAACGAGAGATCAAAGTTCATAGTATTTGTTTGCTAAGGGTAGGTATTACTAGATCTTATAAAACTAACTATAGCTATTCAGTGAATAATTATTATTTCATTCTTTCATAATTAATTAATGAATATATGAATCATTAATAAATAAATAAATAATTCTTTAAGGCCTAAATATTTTGTAGAATAATTTTCTTTTTAATTTCAATATTATCTAAAAATATTTTAGTGAGCACAATGTGATTATGGTTCGTACCTTCGTTAGTAATAATTCAATTAACTTCGACTAAACCAAGTGATCTTTTTGATACATCCCTACTGTTTAAAAAGATAATGGGCTCCACAGTCATAACATTGTAGTGGTGATTTTTTATTTTGAATAAAATGATTTATTAGTCAAAAGCAAAATGTAAAATTACCATATTTTTATATTACGACAGTATATATATTTCAAATTACACTTTCAGGGCCCAATATATTTCTTATTTTCAGGAACTAAATCTTTATTGCTGAGTGGGTAAAAACAGCACGGTATTTTCACCGTAAGGAAACAAGAGATTACACCAATGGTCCTAGAGGTGAAGAAGGGTCAGGGCGAAGACAGCGATACCGAATTCGACATCATGAACTCGGCAGTCAGTACAGAATCTATGGACATGGCGGAGGAGGTATTTATATTATTTTTTTAAAACTAGGTACACAATGGTTCCTGAACTGTGCATTGGTAATTTTAGTTTAATAGAATATCTATTTGACAGCCGATCACAAATCTATAAATTAAAGGTGCAATTGAACCTTTGAATGATTGATTGAATGAGAAACTTACAAATTCTGCAATGGCGGGTATTATTTAACTATTAAATGGTGGAATGGTGTTCAGGACATGTCTCAAGTGGAGGGATGCGGGCTCAGTGGATCGGATGACGACGACGAGTGCGCGTCGTCACCGGCCGGCTCCGCGTACGACGACGGGCAGGACATGATCAAGAGCGCCATGAGCGACGAGGTCACCAAGCAGCTCGCCGCCGCAGGTCCGTTAGCCACATCGATCGGGCTCCTACAAACGTTTCCGATGTCTAAGATTATAGCCAAAACTAACTGTGCTATTCGAGAACTCGATTTCCCATTAGAAATTTAAACCTAAATTTTCGTTTAGATTTGTGCAGAACACAGGGTCAATGTTGGATCATCTTTAAAGATAAAAAGTTAACAAAGAGAACTGATTTCAGTCATTGCAATATATCGCAAACATGAATCTAGATTTATGTGAGGCCTCGATTACATCGTATTGCAACGTTATTCACGGACAGGTCCGGTGGGCATGGCCGCGGCCGCTGCCATCGCGTCGTCCAAGAAGCGGAAGAGGCCGCATTCGTTCGAAACCAACCCCTCAGTGAGGAAGCGCCACCAGAACAGGCTACTCAGAAAGCTCCGCGTGAGTTGCCTTTCCATAATGTAGTCCCGTTTGCCCTCGCCGGTATTGAGAAGGTCCCTCTCGGGCACGTGTCCGCAGCAAACCATCGAGGAGTTCGCGACGCGCGTGGGGCAGCAGGCGGTGGTGCTGGTGGCCACGCCGGGCAAGCCCAACACGTCGTACCGCGTGTTCGGGGCCAAGCCGCTGGAGGACGTGGTGCGCAACCTGCGCTGCATGATCATGGAGGAGCTCGAGAACGCGCTCGCGCAGCAGGTGAGCGACACTCGCGTACTATTCGAATATTATAATATTTGCACACTCCTACAAAAATAATTATACAATTAATTGATTTCAAGAAACAAATAAAAACAACAAATCTCAGAATTGACGGTCCCGTAAATATAAAAATGTGATGGAGTCTTCTTGTGCAACACTACCGAGAATTTTGCATTTAAACTATTGAGTGAAACCATCTTTATAAGTTACATCGATTTATCGGCGCAGATATATTATCACATTTTTGGAACGCGTGAAAAAATGACAGCTTATAATATAATCCTTGAACTCTTATGTTACGTATTAAAGTATATTTCAAAAGGATGGGTACTCTTATTCCGTCGTCAATAACTTGCCTTCTGTGCAGACGACATTTAGAGATGGTACTTATAAATATAGTGGAACTGTATGTGTGTGTATAAAAAATGTTTATCCTAGTTAAACTGTCTATAACACTAAAGTGCTCTTTTCACTCTGTCGTAATCTTTTAAAAAGCCTTAGGGTCAGTGCAGATCTGACTGAAGATCCGCAGAAGCGTCTCACTGAGATATGGAAAGTAATAATAAACGCATTATTGCGCTCAAAATAATATAGTTTATAATAGATAAAACAACACATAAGAACAGGAGTAAACAAAAGGAAGCCTTACTGCTTAACAGCAATCTGTTCCAAACAACCTATGGTGATAGAACTTAATTAACAGTTCATCCGTCACGTGTGAAAGGTTGAATCTCTTGTCATATACTTACTAGCTCTTTCCCCTAGCGTTGACCGTCTTCAGCGTATTATATAGATTTCTGTGGGTGAAAGAATTTTAAATTATAATATCCGACGATTAACCCCTACACACAAACAAAAGTTCGTTACCCGTTTATAACATAAGTATAAATTTGTAACGTTCCGCGACCGACGAAATGTGGCCCATCTTCCGTCAAACATGCACTAACCCTTAAATTGGTTAAAAAAAAGTTAAGACAGTTTACCTATGGATATTGTGATTATTCTCAATCAAGCATACTACCTGACCAAATTAGTTTTATTAAATATATGAAATATTTTAAATCTGTATCAGAAAATTAACCTATCATATATTAAGCATTGTTTATTTTTCTTTTACATTGTTGTTTAACTTTTTAAAAGCCTATTTAATTTTACATCTCCATAGCTGTGTCGCCATCTCAGTAACGGTATTTTAATAAAGACCAGAAGTTTTTTTTAAATTTTGCCCGTTTGTCAATGCTCACGCCAGATCTCTTTTTGTTATAACTACAAAAACTGAACACTAAGACACTCTCTTTACATTGATGTCCATTAATTTATTACTTGTCTTTTTTTTTGGCTGTTGGCATTCAATTCGTCTCCCTGATAAAAAACGCGGAACTAGAAAGATATTAAAATCTTTCTACTTTCGCGTTTTTTATTACTTTTGTTATTGTATTTTGTTATTACTTTTGTTATATATATACATATAACATGATCTGGCGACACGGTCGGTGTGGTGGTCGGGTGGTATGCGCGTGGGGGGTGGTGGGGGATGAGGGAGGATGTGTGGGCGAGTGTTAGTAACGTGGGTCAGTTCGGGCTGGGCGGGTGCGAGCAGGCGCCGCCGCCGCCCGCGGAGGACCCGTCGCTGTTCGAGCTGCCGCCGCTCATCATCGACGGCATCCCCACGCCCGTCGAGAAGATGACGCAGGCCCAGCTGCGGGCCTTCATACCGCTCATGCTCAAGTACTCGATGGGTCAGTGCCGCAACTTTCAATCAGATAAACACACAGATAGAATCTTATCATAGTCCGCTGCTAACTTTTGAGTATTGATAGATACAGTCAGTAGACGACACAAAAAGCACTAATAAAATTGAGATAGTTTTAAACTATCAGAGATGAAATAAAATAGTTCTAAACTCTAATTTTAATTTAGTGTTCGAAACCCTTTTAACAGAAAACAATTATTAATGAAAAATTATTAAAAAATCCCCTGTGTCCCTGGTCCTCTGAGATAGGACAAAGTGGATTTATTAAGAATTTTTCATTTTTCAGTATAACATTGTGTATGCAAAATTCATCAAATATAATAAACTTTTAACTGTTCAAAATTATTCAGCTTATTCAAAAATATCATATATCTGGTATGCATTGGTCCAGTGCGCGGCAAGCCGGGCTGGGGCCGCGAGTCCACGCGGCCGCCGTGGTGGCCCAAGGACCTGCCGTGGGCCAACGTGCGCATGGACGCCCGCTCGGAGGACGAGAAACAGAAGGTCGGCCATCTTGCTATCTCGTCGCGTCGACAAATTGTCTGTATCAAATTAAAGTGAGAGAGAAATGACCCTCGACCCTCACAAGATCTGTCCGTCTGTAACTGACTGCATAGTTTTCACGAGTGCTTGCAATCACTAGCAATAATAAAAATAAATCACTCGTAGGTTAATATTGGCACAAAATGGTTTAATATTTGCTCATGTAAGTGTGAATCTCACTTTACTCTGCCTCTCGACTTTATGACATTGAAAGCCACGTGAGTTAGATTAAGAAAGAACGCAGTGTTCCTTCAGATAGTAAATCGCTTTCGATTCTTGCATGATATCTGTATCATTGTTCGTTTTTTCGCCTGCCCTAGGAACGCCCAACTTGATATCACCAATAAAAAACTTGAATATAGATGAAATAGGACCGCGACAAGGTCGGTAACTTGTATCGTGTGTACTGCAGATGTCGTGGACGCACGCGTTACGTCAGATAGTGATCAACTGCTACAAGTACCACGGCCGCGAGGACCTGCTGCCCGCCTTCACGGAGGAGGACGAGAAGGGACCGCCCACGCAACCCGTGAGATATACATTTATATATATACAAACTAACTAATTATTTACTAACATAACACTAGTTAAGACAATGCAAATATTTAGTATCGAGGCGGGCTGTCCTCCTGACCCGTAATTTTTTTTATGAATTAGAGTTTCAGTCTCAAAATTATTTGCTAACGACCATACAAATTTAAAACTATTTATAAACCATTGAAATTATTTCCGAAATTTAATGCGTCATTAAAATTTCAAGACTAGGGGGACAGTCTGCAATAGTGTTATGTATTTTAAAGATTAATAATGGGTTTTAATGTTTATTCTGATTCAACAGCGCGATCGATCTGTCATCTTCACTAACATAACTAAACTTTGAATTATACCTTCTCTGCTATCATTTGGAATGCCGCCTTGTGGATACGGTAACGGATACTACTGAATCGTGTGCGGTGCGCGTACGTATATAATGCGGGGCGCGTATCATGCGCGCGCTGTACAGATATCGGCGTGCATGCCGGCCGCGGGCTCCAGCGGCGGCGGCGGCGGGCCGTCCGCGCGCGCGCCCGCGCCCGTGCTCGCCTCGCAGCAAGTCTGCATCGACCAGATGACGCTGGCCGATGTCGATGTACGACTTGCGATAATAACACAGCCTTCTATGGCCGACCTCTTCCAATATCCTAATAACGCTAGCTTCCCGACAACGGCTTCGCCCGCGTGATCTCTAACGAACCGTTTGTTTGGATATCGATACGTATTGTGACACGGATATAATAGGGTATTTTACTCTGTTTGAAATTACACTTGTGACTGTTTGTTTCAATTTCAAAAAGTCATAAAACAAATATTTCGTGAAAATAAATACTAATTATATTATATTTTGATTAATTTTTACATTCACAATGCCATACTGAAAATTATTCTTAATACAAAATGCTCAAAAAATCCACTTGGTCCCTGGCACCGTATTATTACACGAATTATATTGCCTTAAAATTAGATCATAATTGAAACTTTTTTTATACCCGCGAAAACGCTGTCCGTCATATTCATGACGTCATTATGATATGTGCACAAACCTTAACTCTATGCTCAAAACTGATGCATAAAGTAGAAGATACCGGTAAAACAAGAACTAAGAATATATATTGTAATCGACTTACACTAAATGTACGAATACGCTTCATTATTACTTTACTTGTCTCTATCAATTGTTAATTTGAATTGACTGTAAATAGGAACCGGTGAGTGTACAGTTCCGAGGGCAATAAAATGGTTTGGCCGAAAACTTTTTCATTATGTTAATCTTGTATATTCATATAACTGCAAAAGGTTAATTATTAAATATTAAATGGGATCAAAAATATAGGAAAGAGAAATTCGTTGAGTTGTTCTTCTTAACATGAATGTCGAATAGCCAACGACAAACCGTATCAAACTTGTTTATAAATTAATCTGCGGATATAGTTTGTATTTATTAAGATATCTGTCTCTTTTTTGCCAAGTCATAGTAATAGTTTTTGTTTAGTAAGTAATATCGCCTGACTGTTACGAGTGCAGATGTCCCAGTACGCGCCCGCAGTCCTGCAGACGATCACGAACCCGGACGGGACCGTGTCCCTCATACAGGTGGACCCCAACAACCCCATCATCACGCTGCCCGACGGTACCACCGCACAAGTGGTGAGTCTTCTACGTTTTGTACGCCAGTCGACCGTTATTGATCTTAACATTTAACGTCGCGATACAAGTTATATCGTTTAAAATTTAACTATTGCAGATTTTCAGTTATATTTGAGCTAATCAATCGTGCGATTAAAGTACAGTTTGATCGATTATAATAAAATAAAAAAATACATACTTAAGGAAGTAAAATATGATCTGTTGATATATACCAGTTAAAGTAGGACATAGTTTAGTTTAAAATTTTGACATCATATGTTTAACGAGTCATGTAACATTCGCTTTGGAGAGTTATTCAATAGATGTTTTTATTATCTATTGTCTAGGAATCGTCTAACTAAGGTAAAAAGTGTTTCACCATTGGCTAGGAAACATTTAACAAAATTAAACAATGTCTAAAGTTGTGATATTCATTAGGCGGCGTTTTACACAGGGCATTTGCATATGTGACATAAATATGTCAAGGGATAAAAGAAAAATATAATTATTTGGAAACAAACTAATCTGCTCTGGCGATTCGTTATATTGGGCGTTTCTGGTTAAGGTATCCCTCGTTCTAGGTTAGGGAAAATGGATGTTAATTAAATTAGAAGTTGACGAGTTGTCAGTAAAAACATCGATCGAAAACAGTAATATTCTATTAGAATCGTTGGTGCCGGTAGTATGTTAATGAGGGGCGTATGTGTGCGTAGATCCACAGCGGCGAGGCGGGCGCGGGCGTGGTGCAGGCGCTGGACGGCGAGGGCGCGGTCGCCGTCGACCTCAACGCTGTGGCCGAGGCCACGCTCAACCACGACGGGCAGATCATCCTCACCGGCGAGGACGGCCACGGTACGCGGTTGCGCGAGCAGTGGGGGTGTGGGAGTGGGGTGTATATATATATATATATATATATATATGTGTATAACCTGGCGCAGGGTACCCGGTGTCCGTGTCGGGCGTGATCACCGTGCCGGTGTCCGCGTCCGTGTACCAGAGCATGGTGGCCTCCATGCAGCACCAGGACGGCGTCTGCGTCGCGCCCATCGTGCAGGTAACACTAATCGATACTGATTATATTTCATATCAGGAAATATTCAAAATAAGCTCGACATAAAATTTGCAACGCCGATAATTATCTTTTAAAAAGTACTATGGTACCTGCTCGAATGCAATTCGGACCCTAAAATAACTATTCTTTACACAACCCCAATGCAGTTTGGACCCAATGACGGTTTTGTTTCATTCTGTCAACTATGGAAAAATATTCATTCGTCTTAAGATAAATAAAATCCACATTGACGATTACATTTAAATTTGTTTCCATATCTAAGTGTCCATAATACAAGAAACTTTGATTTTAATGCATTAATTTTTAAAGTAACTTCACAATTATCTAAGTGTTGTCAACTGTTGTAATCTCAAATCATTATTTACAAATTGCAAATCTCCCTGGCCTCAAGATGAAAATATGCTGAGATATTATTCTATTTTGAGCAAAAACTTTTAACCATTGTCGCTAATGATAGGTATCACACGAAATTTAAAAAACGTGATAGATTAATTGATATATGGAAAGAGGGCATGATTCTTTGTGTAGCTATTGAACAAATATCAAGTCTATACACGGTCCACAGTAATATTATAACAAAAAAATTGCACGACCTAATCCGACACTAGTCGTTTGGTACATCTTACATCGCTAACTATTATCATAAAATAAACGCAATTACTTAACACATCAGTCCATATTATTACGATGTAAATTATACAAATTTTTTATTCATATATTAATAATAATTTCTATTTTGTTCCTTCTAGGAGAACGGTAGAGGTCTGCTGTTTAAATTATGCCATAGGAAACGTTACAAAAACTTTTAATATTTTACGTCGACTCAATAATGTTCTATACATGTGCAATGTTTATTTTAGTTCCTATAAAAATAGCCATTTTAACCCAAAGAATAATTACAGATAGCTAATATATGTATACACTTTTTGTGATATTTTTGTAAAATAAGAAAGCATAGATCTCCATGATGTTCCTTTAGAACTATCTTGCTTTACCTTGTTTTATTACTATGATAAAGGTCATTTCATATAAGGGGCCGTTTATTAATCACCCCCTCTCCATCCAATTAACGTGTATCTTTAGTACCTACAAGTCTTTATTTTTAACGCCGCTTTTCTGTTTAGTAATCGTACGTTTGAGAAAAATATAAATACATGTGATATATAACTACAGTCGTCGTCCCCGTCCCCCCCCCCATTCGACCCTCACATGATTAATGGACGGCCCCTTAGTAGTGCCTTATGCATGCTGATGCAACTTATGTGACTTAGATTTTAATTAGAGTGTGCTTGGTTTTTTATTATTCTTTATTTAAATGAACACTAGTCATTGATATTGTCTGGTCACCTAAAATTTAATTAGATTAACATATTTTGGGGAAACGTGTGTTCCTAGAGAGTGTTATTATTTTTTGTTGTTTTTTTTTTTTGCCAAATTAGATTTAAGTTTATTTTGCTTGACTGATTTATTTCCAAAATGAATCCATATGCATAAAATACTTATATAAACTGTTATTTATTTTTTTATTATACTAACGAGATTCATAATTAACATACGCGAATAGGTTTTTATGAATCATACGGTAAATATAAGTATTAATATGTTATTAATAGCTTGGTCATTTGAAAAGTATAAATATCATTAACTAAAATAGATGATTGCCAACTAAATAATACTTTTAAAGAAGTCAAATTATGTTACTGTAAGTAATTTATTTTTTAAAATGGAGTCTGTTTCATTCTCACAGCGAGGCGTTATCATTAGCAGTATCAGAAGCATAATTTAATTGTTTTTTCTAATCTACATATAACAAATATTAGTAGGCTGATCATGTACAATTAAACATACACACTTAGTACATAATAGATGTAGCATAATAAATTATATAGCATAATAGATTTTATTTACTGTTTTAGCATTTGAAATGTCTTTTATTTTTTTAAACATTTCTCGAGTAGAGTTATATATTTTTACTATAAAAAAGTTTTCGTTAAACACATATAGTATTAAAAAAAAAAATTGAAAATAATAAAATATTTATAAGTGAAGAAATAGAAAACCTTATTTTGCAGTATTAGAATGATATACATTTGGTTATCGTTATGTTGTGTAATTACCTACCACACATGAGGTGCTCCCGTGGACTGGTATTAGGGAACCAACAGTTGTATTTTATTTAGTCGATATACATCTCTATATAGGCACCCACCGCACTGATTACACTTCATGTTAGTTATGATTTTAAAGAATTTCTTTGTTTTTTTTATTTATAATAACTTTATACGCATTATACACAATCTCTAAACTTAATATGCAGCACATTTTTCTCTGCGTGAGGAGAGAAAAGAACAAAATTATCAAATGTGCCTACATATATATCTGCCATCATAAATGCTTTGCCTTATTTGTTTTTCTTGTATTGCATATGCTTCATTTTAGTTTAGAGAATGTGTGTAAATATTTTTACAATATTTGTTCTTTCTATGTTGTGTTTCGTGGCAGTATTGTAATTTTAAATTTGCATGTGAATTTTCTATATTGTAAATTAGCTACAAATGTTTTGTTTGCCCTATTGTTGTTTTGTACGTACGTGTGCGTGTGTGTTATATATACGCTACGTCCCGGCAGTGTTGCTAGTCACAATAAACATAGAAGTTGATTTGTTTGTTTTATTGTAGAGTTGCGCTTGTGTCGTGTTTCTTTGCCGCATGTCCAGGTGTGTATAAGTTTCTTTTTTATTTTCATTATAATAAGCTATTCTAGTAATTATTAAACATCAAAGAGGTGGGTTTTCTCTGGTCCGTATGATGGTTACTTTAGTTCCAATTTTTTGCTGTTGTAAATTAATTTGGTTCTTATTCGACCCAGAAGCGTAGCGTGCCTTAGAATAGGTCGTGTATCAAAAATAGTTGCGAGGGCCCAAAAGGTGGGTAATTTTTTTTTTTTTGCATACACACGCGTTACACCTGGAGTCTCGTATCATTGATACGGCGGTAGCTACGCCCCTAATTCGAACTTGAGAACAACATATGGAAAAAGAGATACTTTTACCGACAATAGACGGGCAGAGTTAAAATTTTAATAATATCTTACTCAATAGTTGAATAATCTGTAACCACCAAAGACTTCTTTGCAATCTACTAGATGAGCTGTTCTGAACTAAAATTGTGACAATATGAGCTCGTTGTCATCTCACTAAGAAGGAGTAAGCGAAACGGCAATACAATCGACTAAACGAAACGAATGTTGTGTTGGTACAACCTCATAGCGAGTAATTTGGTAACCGCTAATAACGATTGCTAGTAGAAGTGGGTGAATCACCTGTCAACTTGTCCTCATAACAACATTAATAGGTCGTCCGTCACCGACAAAGATATTTCTAACCTTATTTCTTTCCACATCTCATAAGTTGTGTGCGTCAGGCTGGCAGCACCATTGTCTTCGATTTTGAAATGAATTCTTGATCCTACTAGCATCTATACAGCGGCGCCACAATCTGTCCAAATTATTTATATACATATGTATTTACTGTAACGAATTAGCAAAATAATAAATAGACGATGAAATGATGTTCTGAAAGACTCCTTTTTGAAATTCTTTATAAATACAGAGTTCTAGCTGAGGCGTCGTCGGACCGACGTTAGCCCAGCAGCGAGACAGACTCGTTTATCTCCGAAACTAAGTAACTCGGTTATTTGTCTCTATTTCTTAACGGATTGACAAATAAGGGTCTAGACTCTAGATGGATCAAGAAGTCGTCACAAAAGTTCACGGACGCGTGTTCAGGCGGATGGCATACATATGCGATGTTTACGTGGGCGTTGCTGGAGCGCAGTCTGTATGTAGATTGCGTTCCGGCCCCAATCTATATTGCGCTGGGGCCATCGAATGAAAGTGCCGCGATGTGCAGGTGGAGCAGGGCGGCGAGGCGCTGGAGGCGCTGTCGATGGGCGGCGGCGTGGCGCAGGTGATGCTGCAGGGCGGCGGCGAGGCGCAGGTGCTACAGGTGCTCAGCCTCAAGGACGCCACCGTGCTCACCAAGGCCATGGTACACCTCGCATCTCACACCTACGTCTGCCCTTCCTTTCATTGTTTTAATTCTATGTTTCTAGTGAGATCTAATAGTATTTCGCCGTTGATTTATATAATAGTGTTATGACCAGTGGTCGGAATTAGGTAGAGTTATTCATGTACTTACACTGATTTCATACAGCGAAAGAATAAAGTGGATATGCCTCAAATCCCGAGATTAATTTTAAAGAGCAGAAAAAATCCCGTGATTTTTTTAAATAAAAGTTATTTACTTTTACACAATTTAAACTACTGCACGCACAACGTTGCCAAACTTACATCAATGACATCGGATGTCCATAGATGTTCAAGATTGTCCATTAGAAATCCCGGGAAGGTCCACATTAATATCAACATTTCGATGCAAGTACATAAATAACTCTACCTAATTCCGACCTCTGGTTATGACTTAGGGTTCGGAATAAAAATTAACGCCAATTATAATTCACAATCCAACTTATTTTACACAATAATATTACAATAATAATTTAACTACAAAATTCACACTTCCACTTCACTATTTCACGTCACTAATAACACTTCACAACACTATTGGATCGTTCACTAGTTATCGCTTTAAGTTTCGCTTTCGATCGCTTGTTGACTGCCTTCAGTGTATCCTTATACCGGGACGGGAAATCCACCGCGTTTTTATAGGGGCCGATACCACATCTAGAATGTTCTATAGGTTAGGTTAGGGCCTAGAATATTCTAGGTGTTTTCCTCGGCCCTACCGGTGTATGCAAGGCATTACCATAAAGTTCTAGAACAGCTACCCGTCTCTTTCTTCCCCAGTAACTGTCCCTTTTTCGCGTTAGCGCGATTCATTGGCGCATAACGCCATTTAGTAATGCGTAGACGAACCGCGCTGTGTTCCGTAACGTATTCTTTCAATATGAATCCGCAGGATATGGTTACGGTACAATTTTATCGCTTAATTTATTAGCATAATAAAGCATGGGGATTAAACAAAGTTTGTAGTCGCAAAAAAAACAATAAATATATAAAATTGCAGTATTTTAGACATATCCATATATATATAAATATATTGTTATTCTTATAACACTACAGCAACAAGTGAAGGCGGAACGCGACGCCGTGGTGGCGGACTCCTAGCTGCTGACGCTGGTGGCGGGCGATGACCCCGCCACCGACACGTAACCGCCATCCGCCGCGCAGGCATCAACGTTTCCGTTGACTAGTCAACAAATCTACAGATGGAAAAATAGAAGACGATATTGCGACACTGAATAGTTGTCTATATTCACTTGGGCTTAGGATATTTTTTATAATCCGGTCCATCACATCGAACTTTAACAGAAAAACGAAACTAACATGGAATCAGAAAATACAAAGTCGTCAAGCGACGTGATGTTAGAGCGTGAAAAAACCTCGTTGGATTTGTAACGGATCGTTTTTTTTTATTAGACATGTCGCGGTAAAATCCGTGCGGTTGGGTTTTAAGTTTCCTCCACTTCATAACATCATCGTATACGCCGTGGACGGCCTCTAGTGGTCTTACCGTGAACTCTTGAAGCGATCTAGTGCATCAGTCGAAGCGTGTTGGTGTGATGCACTAAGTAGCACTATCTCACTTCAACGATGGCGCTTGCATCGCTACAACAGCTCTCAGCGAGACCCCTGTTTATTTATCGCTGTGCGATCAACTTATGACTAGTTAATGATTTTTTTTTTAATTTATTGAACACATATAACAAATCACTGTTGAGTAAAGGAGAGATTTGTGCAATATATTTTTACAACAGTATTTATTTACATTTTACCACTCGCATTGTGATTATAAAATACCGTCTGACGCAATATATAGAAAAGTGCGAGTGATCATAATTTATTAATTACGAATTATACATTCCTTAATTTTATTTATTTTTAAATTAATTTGTTAAGTGGATACCTTGTTGTGTTTAATTTATTTAATGAAATTGTTTGTTACACGCCTCATAATTATTCTAGTCTATTTACGAGTCACGAGTGATGTCTAGTCTTGAGATGGTATTTGTGAAATATTATTATCACTGAAACATCTAATCGGTACGTTAATTCGAATAAATTTTGTAATATACTTACTAGATGAATTTTAAATGTAATTTATAGTCAGCGTTATTATGTATTATGTGACAGATGAAAATATTGCGCAGGGTTGACGCCTAATGGTGTTGGTGTCTGAAAGAATAGTGTTTTAATGTGATTTCAAATATTAGCTGTATTATACGATATTATGATCTGATACGTATGTAGATTCAGATTGTTCTCCAGTTTTGTAACCATCGACATTTTGAAATTGACAAAATTATGTTAAACGTTAAGTGTATAATAAATTCTAGTTGGATCTAGTCAATAAGTTAGAACTATAGAAGAGTACAAAAGCGAGTATCTAATATATGATTATAGATAGTATTATTTTTTATTTTAATGAAAGACTATTTTTTTTTTGCTGTTTTCAGTTTATATTTAAATTTTGTTTTATTATTCGTAACATTTTGTTTCGTCCTTTATATTATAATGAATGAAAAGCACAATTATGTTGTTAAGAAAATAATTTGTGATTGTAAATAATGAGTATGACCGTGTGAATATTGCAATCATTAAAGTATTTACGTAAAATATGTTTTTTTTACTCTCTCGCTTCAAAGTAAATCATATCCATCCAACGGAATTTACTTCGAAGATCGTACAAAATCAATTAAATATAATAGGTATACAGTAGCTCGGTGGCGTAGTGGATAAGCACCGCGGCCCGCGATTATAGTCGTTAAGCAACTTTCGTAAGGGTCGGTCACGGGATAGGTGACCAAAATTTATTATCTCGAGCTACTCCGTGCTTCGGAAGGCACGTTAAGCCGTTGATCCCGGCTGCATTTGCAGTCGTTAATAACCTCCAATCCACATTGGGCCAGCGTGGAGGGTCATAGCCCATCCTCCTTAACCATCCATAAGGAAGGCCAGAGCCCTGCAATGGGGACGTAAAAAGGCTAGTGATGATGATGACAATAGGTATTTCGGATGATCTCAAGATTCCCAGAAAAAAAGGAACAAAACGAGGTAATAATTCGCTACCGGGGGGGGGGGGCACTTGCCCTGGTTGCGTGTCAGCGGGGCGCCAGCTATAATTCAGTAATATCGATACATGAATGTAAAAATATTCCAGCTCATCATTTGATCGCCTATATAAAAGTCAGGAAAGGACGCAGGGGTTAAGTAGGAAGCAGCTAATGGGGGTGGGTTCTTGCCCCCATTTAACAAAGTTATTTGTTTTAAAATATTTAAATAGGTTGTATCCCTGCTGGCGTAACACATTTCACTTTAAGCCAGAGTAGTCGCACCTTTCTAGCACCTTGCGTAATTTATTCCACTTCCTGGTACTCTATACTCCATTCATTATAGCATTTGACAGAAGTTAAATAATTTTCCTTTTATGGTATACTTTGTGATAAAATATCAATAATGCATATCCACTTAAATACCAACTGCTATACTTAACTGTTCCCATTTAAGCTATCTATTAAACAAATTTATGAGTATTTGACCAACTTAAATGATTTAATGACTATTACAATACAAAGTGTGCATCTTAAGAACCTAAAGAAGCAGGGTTGGATAGTTTCAGCACGATTCTCATGTCACTATAACTCTACCAAATTTAGGCAGTACAGGTTTTTAATTTTGTCAGACTATAATGTATTCATAATTGTTAAAATACGTAATCTGGTATTGTCATCCGTTGTGAATGCTACTGCCTTTCTTTTTGTTTTGCCGTTTTCTGTGATTAAATCGTTATTCTTTTATTTTTATTTTGTTATAGTTGTTTTGTTAAATATCGACGATGCCGGTACAGGCCCGAGTGGCCTACAACAATTAAGCTTTAATCCCCCATACCTATCTTCAACCTTTGACATTTCAAGAAGTTTTTCTAATGTCTTCATCTATAGTCTAACTAATGTCTGAATAAATGTTATAATAACAAATTCATTTTGTTTACCTTTCTTTCCTGGACATAGATATAACTAAATTCTATTCTAATTATACGCACTTACAATTAGAATTTATCAAAACAACAGATAGATAGTTTTAGTTCCATCCATGTTGGCTTGAGAGTGAAAGATAAATTAAGAAAATGCTGGCCTCATCCCAACCCCGAGGATTCGTAAAAAACTAGTTTCGTAGAAAATTGCCCAGCTCTTTCAGACTACCTAACGTTCAAAGTTTCAACAAAATTATAATATATATTTTTAAATTAACTTTGAAATAAAATGTTTTGCACTGCTGCTTCTATGACCCTCTTTTTTCTAATGTTATAATGAATGGAGTATAGAGTGAATACTTGCTTAAATCATATTTTAAATGAATATAATGTGTATCAAGTTTTGTAAAGCTCTTTTTACTTTCTCATCCCTATTAAACTATGGTGCTGGAATGACGTCAGCCGATTCTCACTTGGTTTATTTGTCGAGTGGCTATGATTTTGTAAAAGACTGATAATTAAGGAACTTGATGGGTAAAGAATTCATTTCAAAATCAAAGAGGATGGAGCCGTCAGCCTGATGGACATGATAAATAGGGAACTAAATTATGATTTGTTTTCCCAAAATTATAGAGGTCTAGGTGCAACAATAAATTAGTCTATTTGCGATAATATGTAACTCAGCAAAATTTTCCTATTTATTAACCAAATGTTAGAAGAGGGACTTCATTTATTTTCCATACAAATAAATATTAGACAACATCGCATACATTGCTAAGATTCCAAGATTTTGGACTCATATTATAATTGTATTTTAGTTTATTTGTTATTATTGTGATAATTTAATTAGTATTAATTAAGAATATAAAATATTCACCACCCTTTATAGTAACACACCATTTACCATATGAGATTTTTTTAATTAATACTTTGTGTAACTGTTCAGTGCCCAGCCCAGATGCTGATAGCCATGAGGCTGATCTTGTTACACTGTAGCCTTTCAAGCGACAACTGGCGTTTTAAGTAGATATAGATAAATTTGAATTCCTTGATACTGTAACATTACGGTGTGAGCACATGCTCACAATAACTCTGCCAATCTAGTGTGGCACAGCCCTAATAGTTGTAAAAGAAACACTGAATATTTCTCTAAGGTTTTATACATTAGACAAAACATGTGGTTTTTTGTGGGATAGACCAAAGAATACTTGGATTGAAGATGTATCTTCTCACAATTAAAAATAAAATAAAAGTCGACAACAAAACTGTTATATAAATTTCTACAACTTAATTTGATAGATATCATCGACGACCTTACATTTCATAAACATTCTCTAAAGCTAACTCTGGTTTGTCGTAGCCAAGTTCCTCTGGTGTGTCAATGCCGAGTTCGGTAAGCGTAGGCTTGATCTCTTGAATTATGTATGGATAAATTTCATTCACTTTAGGTCCACACTTATCTTTACACGCTTCAATAAACCTAACTGCTAGGGCATAGTCATTCACCCTCCTGCAGGCATGTAAAGCAGCTTTGATGATCTTTGGGTCAGGCACCAGATCCATACCACAGAGGTCATTCATGCCTTTACGGATCTCCCACCCGTCAATGTCTTTTCTATTGAAGAAAGCTTCATATCTGAAACAAACAATCACATACTAGGTATAACCAATTTTATTTATTAATGTTTTCACAAAAAAATAAACAGTAATAAAAAAGTACTATATAACTACTCTGTTCCTATAATTTATACACAAAACTTGGCCTTATCTAACGGACTTATAAATTGCAAAAACCTATGAAGATAACATTTAGAAAACTAATAAGGTGAAATTTGTTTGTCTATATTGATGTTACGATAAAGTATCTGATATTCTAAGTTTTTGGGGAGTGAGGAAACAACAGATTACACTTTTCATTTACTACATATAATAAATCAAGGTATGGTTTAGCACAAAATTATTATCATTTTCCAGTTACATAACGTCAAAATCGATGCCTAACCTGCTATCAAATTCTTCATCAGATTCCACTGGGCCACCATGTGATCTTCTAGAAGGAATCACTGCACTGACCCTCACAGCCGGAACTAAAGACCTTTTCAGGACATTGGCTAGTGAGCCTGAAACCGATTTCAACATTTTGGAGAGACGTTTTCACAGAAACTTTGGCAGGCTAACAAATGGCTGAACAAAACCATAGATAAAAAATTATCTATATCCAGACTACTTATCGGGGTTGCTAGTGCTAAGTTAATTCAAAGAGTTTTCACTGGCATACCGATCAATAACTAAACTTCATATTATTATATCCATTGAGCTGAACTTCGATTTGGACTCATTGTGTGGCTAAAGAAAATATCGTAAAGTATTCAGTTTGTGAGATCTCTATAAAATAGTCTTTTACTCTATGAATAAAGTTGAAAATAGGACACTGTAGTACTAAGTCAATACAAACCTATTTATATCATCGAATTATAGTAATTATGGACTTACAATTAAACAATAATTAAACTACATGTATACATGCTGACTAAAAATCAGCTGCCTTGGTATTTTAAAAAGTTGCTTAATGTAAAGCTACCAAAGTCCTAACTCTTTTACTTCACTTACTAGATCAATCATTCCCGTACGTCGAAACTCAAATGAACTTAGTTATGTTTGCTCTCTTCCTCTGTGCCTGCCAAACCACGACAAGTTAAAGTGGAAGAAAGGACACTCAAACCCCAAATTAATTTTATTATATTTTTCTACTAGATGTAATAACTTATTAACATTCTTATTTATTCTATAGTCAAGAGCTCGCATAACTTTATAAGTTGGACTCTGTACTTTTGTTATAAGAATGTTGCCAGTAGGAGTGAGTCTGCACTAAATCTCATAACAAAAGTCCTTGATGAGAACGAATCACGGGAGCAATAGAGATCCTGTAGCTACTACTCTGTAATGGATCATATTCTAATAGTAAAACAGTTATTCCAAAAACAAAAGAATATGGCATGCCGTTGTACTGCTGCTTTGTGAAGACGTATAAGGCATTTGACTCTGGATCACTCCACAATCTGGAAAGCACTTAAAAACCAAGGACGATCTTCGTAGCCGAGTGGTTAGCTCGCCGGTTTCAAGGTGTCGCCATCTCTGAGGTCCCGGGTTCTTTTCTCGGTCGGATCAGTGTAGAAAATGAAACACCACTTGTTGTGCTTTATTAATATTTGATGCACTGCCCCAAATTTGGACTTAATGACGACTTTGTATATGAGGAGTATATTGTCTGTGCCTAATTTGCTGTTGCGACCCATAAGCCCCATAAGTAAGGTTTTTGAATCTAATATTGAGCTCTGACCTCTTGGTCTTTATATGATGGGCTTAAGTTAGACGGTCGAGATGAACCCCAAGATGTTTCACGTGGTGTTGGTGAGGCGTTGTAACATTTTCTAATTTGACAGGTTGGCAATTACCCCTTCTCAGCGTGAATGTAACTTGGACTGACTGACTTGCTTGCATTTGCTTTTATCCGGCAATATTGTTATTTTATCAAGTTCCTACTGTAATATCTTTGATGCCACGACTGGAACGCTATTCCTAGCTAAGATTACGGTTTTGTCAGCAAATTTCGCCGTTGTAACATCATCAACATGCGCTAGATCTGCTGTATATATTGTGTACAAAATTGGTCCTAGAATTTGCGTTCCCTGCGGTACTCCAGCCTTTATATCGTAAATCCTTGATTTTTGTCCATATCTTTCACTTAAAATATTCTCGAAGAAAGATATTATTTGAATAAGGAGAAATATTAGTAAGGAAGATTGAATTATAGCTTAAAGAAAAGACCCTAGTGCCAAATCGATCGAGGATTATTTTCTCTTTGTTCAAGATAGGTAGCATGCGGTATATAGCTTTTCAAACACCTTTGATAGTACTGGAAGAAGACTAAAAGGCCTATAAGAGGATACTTCATTCAGTGGTTGACCCGTCTTGTGTACCATTATGATTTCAGACACTTAACATGCAGGCCGAAAGTATTATGTTCTTAGTATGCCATTAAAAAGCAAAAAATAATATTAGTAATAGAGGTTATCGTTTGGTTATACTATAGGGACACCACATGCACACCACGCCTTCGGTACTTTTTTTTCATGAAACAGACTTTAGACACATTACAACAGAGTAATAAGTCGTATGCATGAGAGTTTTTTGGTTTTTCCTCAGTGAGTAACCAACTAAATACCGATACAAATACTTACTTCACGATATGTGTTACTCGAAAAAAAGTATCGAGTAAGTACTTGTATTTACTCGTATCGTTGCATCTCTAGTTCTTAGAATCATAGTTGACTGCGAAATCGTATTCGACGAGCATGCGAAAATTGCTAAACAATTGACGAGATTCGCAATGGCATCAAAGAGTAGTATAATATATAGGGAAAAAGAGAACCCACTCGCAGGTTTCCGTGCCAATCATTTTGAAGCGCCATCTGAATTTCGTCCCCGAAAACTTTGCTATAATATATAGGTATACCTAGATAGATATAATACATAGATATACCTGTCACTTTAAAGGTTTCTTTAGAATAAATAGTATGTATAGAAAACGAAAGAGTTTACATCTGAATTAAAATAAAGAAAAAAACTAGATGACCAGTTATTTTTAATTGGAGCGTGTCACTGTTGTATATTTATTTATCAACATAACAATAATAAAATAATCCCATAGTTACCTTTTTAGTAATCAATAAATGTTCAGTAGCTAATAGACAGTACAGTAGTAGTAAATATTTGTAATAAACAAGAGCTGAAAAATATTTTTATGTCAACAAATCATGAAACAATAAAAACCATTAATAATACTTTAAAGAAAGTGAAAGGTTTATATCATAACATAAGAAAAAGGTAATGATTTTATTCATGTTTTGCTATAATAACAATGAATAAAAATTAATTTGTCAATTAAATCTAATAATACAAAATGGGTAAGGCTTACACAATATGATATTTTTTCACCTTTTTTTTCATAAGAAACTAACAATAAATTTCTTATCAAAATTTTCACTTTTTACATACCAACAAATACTTTATTCTGTATCTACTTTCCTTCTTTTCTTTTTCTTGTGGGCTGAGATGCTTTCTTGACCACTATCTTCTTCACTGGAGCTATCAGAGGAGCTGCTTTCACTATCACTGCTAGAAGAACTACTGCTTGATGAGCTGTCAGAGGCCACACCTGTACTTTGGTTGATATCCATGCTGCTAGCTATCTTGTATAGATCTGGATCTTTGGCTTCTAATACCTTAATCCATTTCTTTGAAAGTTTGGGTCGGCCACGTACAGTCTTATGCCAAACAATTGGAAAGTTGGTACGGCTGCAGAAATTCTGAGTAACAGCTACGGTTTCATCTAGATTTAATACCACATGCCACCACCCGCCTGGCACGAAAACAGTCTCTCCTGGTTTTTGAAGAATTTCCACCTGTGGATTTAGATATCATTTTCAAATGGATTGTTATGATTCATCATCACCAGCCCATTAATGTCCCCACTGCTGGGGCTCAGGCCATCCCTATCAATAGAAACAAATCAAACAGGGCTGCAACAACAGCAGAGGCAGCCAGGATCAATGTCTTCACATGCCTTCCAAAGCAAGGAGGAATCTGAGATAATAAATAACCCTATGATTTGTGAAAGTTGCTGAACAACTGTATCGCAGACTGTTCGTGATAGCTACTGCACAATCAAGCTCCACTGTTTTATTATTACAAATAATTAATAAATAATACTATATGATAGTTTGTAAAATAAGGTAACAATTTTACATTGTCATTTAAATTGTGTATAAATATATATTAATCATACCGGTTTGTATTCCTGTGGCCATGACTCCAACTGTGTTTTAGGATAAATAAGTTTAAACCAAGTAATGGCTTCATCTCTCTGTTTACCTCCCATTGCCCCAGTAACTTTGATCAATTCTTTAGGAGTTTGTGTTGGGAATAAGCACCATCTTTTGTGACCAAACACTAAGGCATTCCAGGCACCAGTGCCCAATGGATCTATATGGATTCCAGTTCCAGAACGTTGTGGACCCATCACAAACCAACGGTATGGAGGCCTCCTTTCATTGCCGCAATATTTAAATAAATCATCTCTAAAATATTTAGGAACTTCATAATCTTCCAATAGTTTTTTTCTTCTTGGATGTTCCCCAAAACTACTATCAAAAATATAAAGTGGACTGTCATCAGTCGTTGTCCTCATATAAGTTACATAATACTTCATTTTCATCTTAACACTATAACCCTCATTATCTTCACCACACTTAAATTTTTGGTTTCGATATTTTTTGGCTAATCTATCTAAAGTCCATTTATGGTTAGCTTTCCAACTAGTCTGTACATTTGTTATAACCACAGGTCTAAATATTTTTTCATATTTTTCGATAAACTCCTCTGGTGATACTTTGTTATTATCTACTCTTTCAACATTATCATTACATTTCAAAAATTCTTCAAAGTTTTCAGCATATTTCAAAGCAGTCCATTGCTGCTTATTAGTTAATTCTGTAAGTATAAAGTAATTTATGACACATGTTATTTATCAAACATTATTTCAATGTATTTGAACAGATCAATAGAATAATTATTTATTATTAAGTCTAAGTCATCAAACATGATTATTGCACACACACATTCACAAAAGATTAACCACATAAGCACACATTCACATAAGATTAGTAAGCAGTTAAGCATTCATTAACATAATCTATAATTAATTCCAAAATGATGTCAAAGTGAAATACATAAATTCTGACTTAGGAATCTATTTATATTGGTTTTCAATGTAATTATTCTGCATACATTATTTTAAATTAACTGTGAGAATGGACCGATTTCATACTATTGAAATAATTTTAAAATTGACATGTATAGTCACAGGCCTCATTCTTTCTAGTTCCTCTCAGAACCTACTTAACTATCTTACTGATTTAATTAATATTAGTCTTTTAATTTTATAGAAGTGTTTATTAAAAGTCTAGATTGACTAAACTTACTCAACTTGAATTGTGATTGTTCATGAGACTTTTACAGTGTTAATGATAACAAAAGGATTAGCATTTGAGTAAATTTATGCTAAGACTGTACTTAAAACTTTCTTATTACTTTAATATTATAGTTTAAATATTTGTGAGGAGAGGTATAAAGCATCAAAATATATATTACTATAGTATATTAAGATATAAAAAGCGATGTTAGTTTTATAGGTTAATTTTATCAAATGATTGAAAGATACAATAAACAATACATTATCTTCATACATAACAAACAATAGTTGAAATAATGAGGCCATGGTTGTAAATTGTAACCACGTTATTGGTTGTAAATTCGTTCTAGAAGCTCAACTGCTTTATCGGGATATCACTGGTTGTAGTGATATAGCTCCTCACCGCTACACATAATACAACCTTGAGCACTATTTAATATGACAATACGTCATTAATGTAAAAACTTAAAAAATTCGGCGGTGCAGTGGTCTCATTATCAAGCTTACCTGGACGAGCTTTTCTTTTGACTTCTTTAATCCGCTTCTTAGCTTTATGTGATATTTTATATTCGCTCATCATTTGTATTCCGTAAAATAATATTGTTTTCAGGAGAAATGCATTAAATTAGAATTAAAAAATGTGAAAAAACTTATTTCTTTTTCTATACGTCGACGACTATTATTCTATGCTCCTACAGCAACCAAAGACTCATAGATAATAAATAATACCATAGACCTTAAAGCCACAGACCGTTTTCGATACGTTTTCTATGCTGCAGTCCAAGACCATATTACAGTACCCAGTCTATGACTTCATAGTGCTGTCTTTACCGGTACTCCCGGTACTCTTCAGTATTGTAGGTATCTTATTTTCATACCTTTTTTCTCCATGAACTCGATTTATAAATCGGTAAAAAACAGGAAACCTATTAAAAAAGTCATTCGTATTTACAATCTAATCATAAGTTGAAATGAGTAGGCACGTATTTTTATAAATTATTTTTTTCTTATGGCAAGATCTACTGTCATCTGTCATCGCTAGTCACTAGCAGATTAATTGTGATGGTAATACTATACACAAATTTCAGCTTTTCCATTGCTCCTCATATCTTAAAAAATCGGAATAGTAACAAAATTAGTAAAAAATAAATATTGTCTGAGAATATTTCAGTTTTGCAGTCACTTACTAATATTCAAATAATTACGCAGATTAAATAAACATTAGTAGTGCTGAATTTGACTGTTGTAGTGAAACAAATTTCAAACGTTCCAGTCTGAAGTGTGTAGCTAGCTCGGAATAACTGTCAATCTGGGTGTAGAAATTTATTTTGTAATTTTCACCGGTTCTCATGTGTAATTTCCTATTGTAATGTGTTAGACTTTTGTTAAATAAACGTTAATTGCGAAATAATGTTCTATGGTGTATGTGGTGCTTAAGACAGTGCGAAAATGGATGACGGTAGCGTGAAGATCCAGTCTGGAATCAACATCAACATAAAAAGAACAGATGGTGAGTATGGTCGAGCTGGAATTCTTCATAATCGAATCTGATCTTGCATCATTTGACACTATTGCTTGTTTAAAAATTTGATATCGACAAAGCCACTTCTTTGAATTCTGTAAATTTTAATGATTCACTTTCTAGGGTTAACGTGAATCAACCTGCCTTTACAGTGTGTAGGCAATAGCTCCAAATTTAATGTCTCTCAACTACATCAAGTATTTAATTTGATCCTTGTAAAAAAGTTATCACTGAAATACTTACAAGGAAATAATAATTCAGTATAATTACGTCTTACACTACAATCACTAAAAAGTATCTGTAAGTATGTAAAATTTAAGTTCTATATGCCTATGGAGTAACTTGGATATGATATAAATATGAGTAAATTAACATTGAAAAAATTGAATACAAGTATACAAATCACCAGGAACTGTTATACCTATAAAAACAATATAATCTACATTGATAAAGTCATGTTCTTAGACATAGCAATACCAAGTTTGGCATTCTAATGTAATTAAATATTGATGGTTACCTTGTTTTCCTAACAGTTTTGAATAAAAAATTTTTACTTAGTTTTGTGGTTGCATAATTTTCATCCATATATGTAAGTGTATCAAAGACTCGCTCCTGAAAATATCAAGATCCAATACAGGACAAAATTTGGACACACAGCTGCACGGCAAGCTGCCACAATATGTCAATTTACTCCAGTTGATTTGTCCTTTACCTGCAATGCATCATGGTTTAAAATTAAATGGAGAAAATTGACAGTTTTGTATAGTGACAGACAGTCTATGTGCTGTTGGTTGTACATACTTTTTTCTTCACTATCAAGAAATTGGTATGGAATAATATATTTTTTATTTATTTTGAGGATGTACCAGATTGCATATTGTTATTTTATTGTATTGTGAAAATTTATGGTTTAATTTAAATGCATTTGATGATTTTTTTCACAAATCTATGTAAGTTCAGTAACCTTTGTTTATTGAACTTACATAGATAAATATATTAATAATGGCATGGAAATGAGGAAAAACTAAAGCAGACTTATAAAATGACAAAGGCATAAATCTAATACACTTAATTTAAATTCCTGTAAAGATTTATAAAGCATGGTCATCATGCTTTATAGTACATATCTAAGTAATAATCACTTGCCATTTTAATCTAAAAAAATGAATTTTTAATGATACAATCATTGATAAATTTTGTGACATCTATAGACATAAATCCTCTTTTTGATAAAATTTTAATGGTACTTCCTTGAGTTATCAGAATCAGTTTACTTACAATGAAAATAACTTGAACAAACATACAAAAAAACATTTAGTCAAATTGAGAACATCCTCCTTGTTTTTAAGTCTGTTAAAACAAATTCTTATGAAAGGCAAATCATGTAATGAAATATTACAACCACTTCCATCCAAGACAATAGGATGAGACAAAATCAGTATATCTATTAAAACAATTAAAATATTATCCTACATTTAATAAAGTGTATTTGTTATAGGTGTATGGTGTGTGTAGTGATTTGGTTCAGTTTGATCGATATGATGTTTACTTCTAATTATTTCTATCTTACTTTATTTAATCACTTTTAAAACTCCAGGGTACAAAATCATGTAATAGCATTAGTTCAGAAAAAATCCTGAAATATATAACCAGATATGAGTTATGTTCATTGTCTCGAAATCAATACATATTTACAGTACCTATTGAACAGACTGTTCTTAACTAATTGTGTATTGTTAAATAAAACTATCATATTTTATATAACAAAATATATGTTTTAAATTCATCTCAAGCTTACATATTTTTGCGGGCATTGGAGGACGGTCCGCCTAATTGACCTTGCGTTGCGTACATCCATATACGGCGCTCGGCGCGAGTCGGCATACGCGCACGCGGCGCTTACAGGGTTTCGTACTTATAAAATAGTTATTATGTTGTAATTTTTAATAGGTATTTTTGATTTCAAGTTTGCAGTCTAGTAGAATTAGTCTTCGTAAGTAAGTTTGCGAGAACAGGTACTGCTCTGTGTATTCACTTAAAATGTTTTGACTGCAACTATAAGCAGAGTCTTGGACTACTACCTTTAATCTTACTGCAATCTCATCACTGACTATGATCCGGTCATCGTAGAGTTTAATTCATATAATGAGTGGATTATTTACGAGCTATCCATTGCCTCTCACATTCTTGTGGAACTTTGTGTGGAACATTTAGTTCTTTGCTATTGGCGATATCGGACTCTCGACTCTGCTATCAATGTAGGTATTAACTAACTCAGACTAGCTTCTCCAGGTCATTATTTCATTTTCATACGATGTGTATGAAGTGTTACCTCAGTTTTTAAACTGTTTATATTTAGTCATATTTATTGTTGTTGTGTGTGTTGTGTGGTCTCAACGATAAACAACTTTCTTTCTTTCTTCTTTTGATGGATTGAAGAATATCGTGACGATTTACTGCGTCCGATTGCTGCTGAAAAGACGAAACGATTGATTTTTCTCATAAAAACCATTGAATTTGTTCAGGATTACCATAAAATGAAGTTGTACTTTTACCCTCCGGATCTAGTTAAGATTCTAGGATTTTGATAAAATCCTTCCTTATCATAATACTGTTAATCGTAGGTCACAAAAAGTCATACACTTTCGATATATCATTGCGTTTAATTACGCTTTTACGATGAATTATGCTTTATTACGATATCGTCTTCCTTCAAGCACATAGTTTAGGATTTGGACGTATACTCACCGTCTATTCGTCTTAACTTTAATTAACAAGGTTTGAGATATGATTATAATGACATACCATGGTACATTGTATGGGTAAATGAATGTAAACGTTGGTCGCCGACTGATTTATGCGCTTCCCAAACCGGAAATGTCAATAGGGATGTAATAATAAATATACAAGGCTAGTGATTCTAACCAAGTTCAAAGAGACACAAGTAATTCATTCAGGACTGCAATTCATTGCCCGATTCGACAAGTAACTACAGGAAAAAAGTTAGTTAAGATTCATGCTTTGAATTTTCTTTTAGATGAGACGACCAAGTGGGATTGAAGTTAATCGAATCATAATGTTCCGTCATTAGGTTCCTTGCTGAATATTTAGTCAAGTGACTTATTAGGGTTGGATTTGTTAATGTTTTTATCAGGGTTGGCAAAAATCCGATATTTATAATAGGTATCAAAATATCCGATATTTGATATTTAGGGAAAGGGGATATTTAGTAACGTATAGGGGAAAACTCGACAGTAAGTAAGATTGCTACTTCAGGCCAATGTTGCCAGCGTCAATACTAAAGACTCAATACTAAAACTAATATTAAATAAATGATAAATTTCGATTGATGTGCAAAATTTATCAAATATAATAATTAAAACAAAATTTCAAATCAGTTAAAATATTAAAAAATACAAATTAGCAGATGCACAAAGTTATAAAATTTAATATCACTTTTGTGGCAAACCAGACTGTTTGAAAGTGCTGACAACTTGAGAGAAAAGTTTTCTCTTATGGAGTTTTTAATACAGTCGACGAAAGTGCAGCCTATAAAACTTTATCTGGAACTTTAGAACGATGGCTAACTCTAGATCTAATGGTTCTGAAGAAGACTTCGGTAACAGCTTAATATTCAACTTTCCAGTTAAAGATGATATGATAATTGTTGAATTTTTATACAAACAGCCGAAATAGGCGAGTGTTTTCGTGTTTGCGCGTTCGTGCGAGCCGCTTCCGGGTGCCTAGTAGCCGACGGCGTCGCCCACGGAACCACCACCAGCCAAGGTTGCGTCATCGATCACCGCACGTTGTGTCACAGTGGGGCCCTCGTGACCGTCAATATTATAGCAGTTTTTGTTTGCTTACTGCCAAACCAAAAATTTACCCTGTTTGTGCGATCTTAAGAGTATCATTTTGTTTTAGGAGGTGCTTAAAGATAAGTAACCTAAGAATGTCCCATAGATAGCTTTAACCGTTTGAAATATCGTTCTTTCCTTATACGACTTTATTACGTATTTCCCCTTATTTGTGATGGTGTGACATTTTATTTTTGAATTGAGAAAGTAGTGGTACATCAGTGATATATGATAATGAATTTGATGAAAGAATCAGATTGGATATGTATCTACAAAACTTTTAGAATCTAATATTATTGAATCACATCCAATATGTTTGTACGGCTTAGTTACAAGTTGTATATCTAAAGAGTATAAATAACGCGCTCGGTGTACAGTGAACGTGGCAGGCGAGCGAGTGGTGAGTCACAGCCGCGCCGGGTTCCCTCGCCGCGACCGACATACAGGCGGCCGCACAGATAACTGTACACGAACAAATCCAAGCCTATCGGTCACTTGGCACAACTCATTCTGCGTCTGTGGATCATGATTCAATTACTTAGGTAAAAAAAAAACAATCTAAGGATAAAGAACTAAGATAGCGGTACCAAAAATAACATTTTTAACCATTAGTAAAACTTGTGTGCAACCTTTCACATGGATAAGTAGTTTCGCTTCGAAATATAAATCATAGCTAAGGCGTCGTGTTGGAAATCTAAATGGTTCTGCATCGGAACGTAAAACTACCCAAGGTCGGAGATCGGCCTCGTTAAATTTTTTAATTTTATTTTGCGTATACTTATAATGTTATCAGTATGTATCGGATTCTATAATACTCTTCAAATAAGAAGTTTAGGAAATCAAATAAATAGATAAGTAAACAAACAGCTAATCGGTAGTGTGTCTGAATGTTTCACTTCATACTATTATTGTCAGCTATGACTTTCACTGTGTCTAACGTGAATTGTTTTGTGGACAACGCGGAAAGTGTAACGCGAGTGCTATAAAAGCACTCGGCTCTGTGTAATATTGACTATACAACCTAAAGCATTACATTGACCCGAAAGCGAATGATCGCGCTAGGCGTGCAGTTGGTTCGACAACAAATAACAATGCGCAAACTAGTTTAGTAAATAACCTTATGTGTTTGCG